TAACAATTTGACACAGCATATTTTCTAAGCGTAAAAAATTGGATAGGCCTTGATCATGTAGGATCGAGCAAGATGTTCTGGCATGAACTTTGTTAACGCCATATTTATGAGCAATCATGGAAAGATAAGCTAATAATAAAAGATTAAACAATACCAAACTATAATATTGTAATCATTATATTGGAGAAACATTGTAGTTTTTCTTTGGCAATAGAGTCAAAGTGATTGGAAATAATCAATAATAACACACAGTCAGCAATCTATGTAAGATTCAAGGCATCATGTAAACCAAAATACGATTTCCACTTTCTGTTATAAGTACAAAGCTTTTTATTAGTTTTTGCTGACAGATATTCTAGATAAATAGCATCTTTTAATACTTGTTTAAAAACGTCCATTGAAGGTTTCGTTTTCTTTAAACTAGAAATAAAAGTCTCTTAGCTAACATAATAATATGATTTTTTGCAGGTTTTGCGCTTATTTCACCAAAACATACAGAAAACCTTGTAAAAAGTATATGACAAGTTCCAACAGAATTAAAAAAAGACTCCAAGTTCTGCCAGAATTCAAACACATATTCACAGTCATAAAATATATGCATCAAGTTTTCTTTCTCTATCTTTCAAAATTCACATAAATCATCATCGACAAGTTTCATTTTATACAGTTCTTTTTTTTGTATATATCATTCTATGCAGGAATCTAAATTGAAAATCTATCAATAAAATCTACCAACAGTACAGTCTTGATCTGACTTTGTGCAGTCCCAATGGTTGCTGAAAGAGGGCCAAAAGTCTACCAAATCAGTCTTATCACTTGGTCTTCGTTCTTTCTTGTGACTGTTATTCATACACTTATATATGTATGCGTACACACCATGTCGTCATGTCGACGTTCTCCATTCAACAACCTCCTATTTCCTGTTCTTTTGGTGTGCTGTGACGTGACGTGACGTCCATGTGGGTGTTCCTTTGGAGTACAATTCTTTTTTTCAAATCTTATAACGGCACAATTTCTAGATGGTAATTATCGATAAAATCAGTGGGGAGGCGTGGTCTTCTCATTGCTGACAATGTTATGTCTCTCCGTTTAAATGTTTTTAATGTTATTTTGTTTTTACTTCATTTCATGCATTGACCACAACTTGGTTAAACTGGAACAAACAGCCTGATGTATGTTTACTCTAAATATACCGTTTTCACTGTCTATGTATCTACACCTGAATTCTGGTATGCCTCACAAATGTTCAACTACAGGGATCACGTGTGGCCCGGTCGTCTAAGGCGCCGCGATTCGCTGTGCAGAGTTGCGTCCCTTGGGCACGCCAGAAACCTAACTCTCCAACTACACGTCTACCGGTCGTGAATTAATTAATGGGTAACTTACTGAAGATCATATCCCCAAATTGAAGAGGTAACAATGATAAAACTAAACGTAAGGAAATGTTTATATTTCTAAAGAAATTGAAAGCAGTTATCTAGTTTGAAAGATGTGCACGTGACAAATAGTATGGATAAAATATCAAAGAAGAATGGGGACCTAAAGATTTCTATTTCTATTTCTAGCCGTACTGTGAGTCAATCATGTTGACTGTAAAATCGAAAACAAAATATGCGATGTTAATGGCTATGTGCTTATTGTAGAAATGGACTTTAACGATACAAGCTAGCAACTGTTGCTATTGCTGGACCAAATAGAGACGGTGTGGATTCCTATGACAACTTAGACACGACAATTAGATCTCTTGATAGTAACCATATTGTTCTGTGTGAAGACTGCAATATTATACAATATTATTATACAATATACCCGTGAAGATCCGGGGAAGAATAGGTCTTCAGCAACCCATGCTTGCCGTAAATTGCGACTATGCTTGTCGAAAGAGGCAACTTACGTGATCGGTTGGTCAGGCTCGCTGACTTGGTTGATGCATGCCATCGTATCCCAATTGCATGGATTGATGCTCATGATATCAATCACTGGATTGTCTGATCAAGACTCGATTATTTACAGACCGCCGTCATATAGCTGGAATATTGCTGAGTGCGGCGTTAAACAACAAACCAACCAACCAACCAATCACCCTCTTCCATCACTAAGTAGTAAACACACGTGTATGTACCTGTGTTTACAACTCAGTGATGGGAGAGGGTGTGCAGATAGGGGAGCTGTTGTGGGCACGTGTGTTTACAACTCAGTGATGGGAGAGGGTGTACAGATAGGGGAGCTGTTGTATGCACGTGTGTTTACTACTCAGTGATGGAAGAGGGTGAACAGATAGGGGAGCTGTTGTGGGCACGTGTGTTTACTACTCAGTGATGAGAGAGGGTGTACAGATAGGGGAGCTGTTGTGGGCACGTGTGTTTACTACTCAGTGATGGAAGAGGGTGTACAGATAGGGGAGCTGTTGTATGCACGTGTGTTTACTACTCAGTGATGGAAGAGGGTGAACAGATAGGGGAGCTGTTGCATGCACGTGTGTTTACTACTCAGTGATGGGAGAGGGTGTACAGATAGGGGAGCTGTTGTATGCACGTGTGTTTACAACTCAGTGATGGGAGAGGGTGTACAGATAGGGGAGCTGTTGTATGTACGTGTGTTTACTACTCAGTGATGAGAGAGGGTGTACAGATAGGGGAGCTGTTGTATGTACGTGTGTTTACTACTCAGTGATGGGAGAGGGTGTACAGATAGGGGAGCTGTTGTATGCACGTGTGTTTACAACTCAGTGATGGGAGAGGGTGTACAGATAGGGGAGCTGTTGCATGCACGTGTGTTTACTACTCAGTGATGGGAGAGGGTGTGCAGATAGGGGAGCTGTTGTATGCACGTGTGTTTACTACTCAGTGATGGGAGAGGGTGTACAGATAGGGGAGCTGTTGTATGCACGTGTGTTTACTAGTCAGTGATGAGAGAGGGTGAACGGATTGGGGAGCTGTTGTGGGCACGTGTGGTTTATACTCAGTGATGGAAGAGGGCGTAAAAGAATCGGGAGCTGTTGTGGGCACGTGTATTTACTACTGGATGACGGAGGAAGGGGGCGGGGTGTACAGGCTGGGGAGCCGGTGTGTGCACGTGTGTTTACTATTGGGTGACGGAGGAAGGGCGGACGCTTTGCCACGAGACCACGGAGGCGGTCCCGCCACGTGGGACACAGCTGCTGTACCGGGACATCCTGATGCAGCACAAGGAGCCGGGACATCCTGATGCAGCACAAGGAGCCAGGTCATCCTAATGCACCACAAGGAACCAGGTCATCCTGATGAAACACAAGGAGCCAGGTCATCCTGCTGAAACACAAGGAGCCGGGACATCCTGATGCACCACAAGGAACCAGGTCATCTGATGAAACACAAGGAGCCGGGACGTCCTGATGCAGCACAAGGAGCCGGGACATCCTGATGCACCACAAGGAGCCAGGTCATCCTGATGCACCACAAGGAGCCAGGTCATCCTGATGCACCACAAGGAGCCAGGTCATCCTGATGCACCACAAGGAACCAGGTCATCTGATGAAACACAAGGAGCCGGGACGTCCTGATGCAGCACAAGGAGCCGGGACATCCTGATGCACCACAAGGAGCCAGGTCATCCTGATGCACCACAAGGAGCCAGGTCATCCTGATGCACCACAAGGAGCCAGGTCATCCTGATGCACCACAAGGAGCCGGGACATCCTGATGAAGCACAAGGAGCCGGGACGTCCTGATGCAGCACAAGGAGCCAGGCCATCCTGATGCACCACAAGGAGCCAGGTCATTCTGATGCACCACAAGGAGCCAGGACATCCTGATGCACCACAAGGAGCCAGGTCATCCTGATGCACCACAAGGAGCCGGGACATCCTGATGCACCACAAGGAGCCAGGTCATCCTGATGCACCACAAGGAGCCAGGTCATCCTGATGCACCACAAGGAGCCAGGTCATCCTGATGCACCACAAGGAGCCGGGACATCCTGATGAAGCACAAGGAGCCGGGACGTCCTGATGCAGCACAAGGAGCCAGGTCATCCTGATGCACCACAAGGAGCCAGGTCATCCTGATGCACCACAAGGAGCCAGGTCATCCTGATGCACCACAAGGAGCCAGGTCATCCTGATGCACCACAAGGAGCCGGGACATCCTGATGCACCACAAGGAGCCAGGTCATCCTGTTGAAGCACAAGGAGCCGGGACATCCTGATGAACCACAAGTAGCCAGGTCATCTGATGCACCACAAGGAGCCAGGTCATCCTGATGCACCACAAGGAGCCGGGACATCCTGATGCACCACAAGGAGCCAGGTCATCCTGATGCACCACAAGGAGCCAGGTCATCCTGTTGAAGCACAAGGAGCCGGGACATCCTGTTGAAGCACAAGGAGCCGGGTCATCCTGATGCACCACAAGGAGCCAGGTCATCCTGATGAAGCACAAGGAGCCGGGTCATCCTGATGAAGCACAAGGAGCCGGGTCATCCTGTTGAAGCACAAGGAGCCGGGTCATCCTGATGAAGCACAAGGAGCCGGGTCATCCTGATACAGTACAAGGAGCCAGTTCATCTGATGCAGGACAAGGAGCCAGGTCATCTGATGCAGCACAAGAAACCGGGTCATCCTGATGCACCACAAGGAGCCAGGTCATCCTGATGCACCACAAGGAGCCAGGTCATCCTGATGCACCACAAGGAGCCGGGACATCCTGATACAGTACAAGGAGCCAGTTCATCTGATGCAGGACAAGGAGCCAGGTCATCCTGATGCAGCACAAGAAACCGGGTCATCCTGATGCAGTACAAGGATCCGGGTCATCCTGATGAAGCACAAGGAGCCAGGACATCCTGATGCACCACAAGGAGCCGGGACTTCCTGATGAAGCACAAGGAGCCGGGACATCCTGATGCACCACAAGGAGCCGGGACATCCTGATGCAGCACAAGGAGCCAGGTGATCCTGATGCAGCACAAGGACATTGCATGTTATCATATGTTGTGGAACATGAAATTTACTACTTCAGACGCATTGATCAGACTCTTTATTACAATCGTTAGGTTCACAAGTCAGTATTAAGAGCGACTAACCGTGATATTTTTCGTGTCCGTACCAAAAATATTCGATGCGACACACTGGTACGTTTTATAGTCGAATGACGTCGTAATGGGTATGGTGTAAGATGGACCACGGATTCCATTGCCCACCCAAGAGATGGCTGGCGGGGGGATTCCGCTAGAGCTGCAGTTAAGGGTGGCTGCTGAGCCGTACGGAACTACAAGCGTCTCACTGGCAGGTCCGGAGATAGTTGGCTTCTTGAGGCACTCGCACCCTGGGTTCAGCTTGTCGGCGTCCGCGCCCCTCGCACCCACGTCCCCTGGCTCACCTTTCACACCAACCACGCCCATGTTGCCTTCAACTCCTTCCGGTCCCCTCTCGCCTTTAGAGCCAGCCTTGCCCGTGGCTCCTGGTGCTCCCCTCTCCCCTGCGTCTCCCTTCACCCCCGGGCTTCCATCCTCTCCCTTCCGTCCCCTCACTCCCTTCAAGCCTGGGTCCCCCTTCTCCCCCTGCAGCCCGGCAGTCCCGGGGGATCCTATAGGACCTGTTGCCCCCACAACGCCTGCTTCCCCCGGCGGCCCCGCGTTGCCCTTTCCTCCCTCTGGACCTTGGTATCCTCGGTCCCCCTTCACTCCGGATACTCCCTGGTCACCCTTGACCCCTTGCTGTCCAGGTGTCCCCGTCGCCCCCTTCTGACCCTTCTTGCACACCTTGGTGGTGTTCTTGCAGTGTCGCTCGATGACAGCTTCTTCCGTCTTCAGGAGACTCAGGAAGACATCCTCAAGGCCTGATTTCCTGCTGCGGGCGAGGGACTGCGCCGCATCACGCTTCACACTAGACGACAGTTCAAACACGAGGCTAAAACCATGCTCACCGTTCTGCAGTAGTGACTCAAGGCTACTTTGAAGATCTGAATCTTGAAGCTCGAGGCTGTTGATGTTGCTGCACTGCAGGATGGAGACAACGACCAGGGCGATGGTGTTGAGGACAACAAAGATGGTCAGAAATGTCACAGATTTTCCAACACCGTCAGACGCCATTGTATTTCGCGAGAGCTGAAATCTTATCAAACACAACCAGACGGTGCTTCTCACCAATACTGACGTTATCTCTGAACACCACGACTATCATATGATAAATGTTATGTTTCAACATTCCGATAAAAACACATACAAATATACTGAGGGGCGAAAACATGACGTTTTCTGAAAACACGAAAAAAGCTATTGAAAACAAAAAAAGAATCATTTCACACACACATACACACGTACATGCAAGTCGCTATACAAGTGCAATAATCTTGGACGCGACGTTAAACCCCATTTCACCTCAAATTACAAACATAGTCCGTTCATCTCCTAAATGAGCAGACGGGCAAGTCATGACATGTCTACTGAACATACCAGCTGTCGGGGATTGTAAATAATGTAGCTCAATGGCTGATCTCTTGTGTGGTGTGTTACCTAAGTAGCTGGAGACTCCAGATTGTGTTTCTCTGCACTTCCTGATGTGATGTTCTGAACATTCCAATAACTCTCCAACGGTCCTTGTCGGATATGCACAGCATCGTGATTATTGAATTAGCAGAGACAAAATAACTACCGTATTCGCCCCGCTCTAATAAGCGCCCACGGCCGATATTTGCTAATATATTGGCAAGTGAACAATCCCAATTATCACTCCTTCCGATTGATCAATGTACACAATACTTATTTATTCGTGTATAATACGCACACGTGTGTTATGTGCACCCTTAATTATGGGTAATTAAATTCTGGAAAAATATATCTGTTGTATATAAACAGTTCAGGCCGTCAGTTGTGTGTCACGTTTGACTTCCACGGATGTCTTGGTACGTTGTGTGTCAAGTTTGACTTCCACGGATGTCTTGGTACGTTGTATGTCACGTTTGACTTCCACGGATGTCTGGGTGGGTTGTGTGTCAAGTTTGACTTCCAAGGATGTCTTGGTACGTTGTGTGTCACGTTTGACTTCCACGGATGTCTGGGTGGGTTGTGTGTCAGGTTTACTTCCATGGATGTCTTGGTACGTTGTGTGTCACATTAGACTTTCACGGATGTCTTGGTACGTTGTGTGTCACGTTTGACTTCCACGGATGTCTGGTTGGGCTGTGTCACGTTTGACTTCCACGGATGTCTGGGTGGGTTGTGTGTCACCTTTGACTTCCACGGATGTCTTGGTACGTTGTGTGTCACGTTTGACTTCCATGGATGTCTTGGTACGTTGTGTGTCACGTTTGACTTCCACGAATGTCTTGGTACGTTGTGTGTCACCTTTGACTTCCACGGATGTCTGGGTACGTTGTGTGTCAGGTTTGACTTCCACGGATGTCTTGGTACGTTGTGTGTCACGTTTGACTTCCACGGATGTCTGGGTACGTTGTGTGTCACGTTTGACTTCCACGGATGTCTGGGTACATTCTGTGTCACGTTTGACTTCCACGGATGTCTTGGTACGTTGTGTGTCACCTTTGACTTCCACGGATGTCTGGGTATGTTTTGTGTCACGTTTGACTTCCACGGATGTCTGGGTACGTTGTGTGTCACGTTTGACTTCCACGGACGTCTGGGTGGGTTGTGTGTCCCCTTTGACTTCCACGGATGTCTTGGTACGTTGTGTGTCACCTTTGACTTCCACGGATGTCTTGGTACGTTGTGTGTCACCTTTGACTTCCACAGATGTCTGGGTACGTTGTTGGTCACGTTTGACTTCCACGGATGTCTTGGTACGTTGTGTGTCATGTTTGACTTCCACGGATGTCTGAGTACGTTGTGTGTCACCTTTGACTTCCACAGATGTCTTGGTACGTTGTTGGTCACGTTTAACTTCCACGGATGTCTGGGTACGTTGTGTGTCAAGTTTGACTTCCACGGATGTCTTGGTACGTTGTATGTCACGTTTGACTTCCACGGATGTCTGGGTGGGTTGTGTGTCACCTTTGACTTCCATGGATGTCTTTGTACGTTGTGTGTCACGTTTGACTTCCACGGATGTCTGGTTGGGCTGTGTCACGTTTGACTTCCACGGATGTCTGGGTGGGCTGTGTGTCACGTTAGACTTCCACGGATGTCTTGGTACGTTGTGTGTCACGTTTGACTTCCACGGATGTCTGGTTGGGCTGTGTCACGTTTGACTTCCACGGATGTCTGGGTGGGTTGTGTGTCACCTTTGACTTCCACGGATGTCTTGGTACGTTGTGTGTCACGTTTGACTTCCATGGATGTCTTGGTACGTTGTGTGTCACCTTTGACTTCCACGAATGTCTGGGTACGTTGTGTGTCACCTTTGACTTCCACGGATGTCTTGGTACGTTGTATGTCACGTCTGACTTCCACGGATGTCTGGGTGGGTTGTGTGTCAAGTTTGACTTCCAAGGATGTCTTGGTACGTTGTGTGTCACGTTTGACTTCCACGGATGTCTGGGTGGGTTGTGTGTCAGGTTTGACTTCCATGGATGTCTTGGTACGTTGTGTGTCACGTTAGACTTCCACGGATGTCTTGGTACGTTGTGTGTCACGTTTGACTTCCACGGATGTCTGGTTGGGCTGTGTCACCTTTGACTTCCACAGATGTCTGGGTACGTTGTGTGTCACCTTTGACTTCCACGGATGTCTGGGTACGTTGTGTGTCACGTTAGACTTCCACGGATGTCTGAGTACGTTGTGTGTCACGTTTGACTTCCACGGATGTCTGGGTACGTTGTGTGTCCCCTTTGACTTCCACGGATGTCTGGGTACGTTGTGTGTCACGTTAGACTTCCATGGATGTCTGAGTACGTTGTGTGTCACGTTAGACTTCCATGGATGTCTTGGTACGTTGTGTGTCACGTTTGACTTCCACGGATGTCTTGGTACGTTGTGTGTCATGTTTGACTTCCAAGGATGTCTGGGTACGTTGTGTGTCACCTTTGACTTCCACAGATGTCTGGGTACGTTGTTGGTCACGTTTGACTTCCACGGATGTCTGGGTACGTTGTGTGTCACCTTTGACTTCCACAGATGTCTTGGTACGTTGTGTGTCATGTTTGACTTCCACGGATGTCTGGGTACGTTTTGTGTCATGTTTGACTTCCACGGATGTCTGGGTACGTTGTGTGTCACCTTTGACTTCCACAGATGTCTGGGTACGTTGTTGGTCACGTTTGACTTCCATTGATGTCTTGGTACGTTGTGTGTCACCTTTGACTTCCACGGATGTCTGGGTACGTTGTGTGTCACGTTTGACTTCCACGGATGTCTGGGTACGTTTTGTGTCATGTTTGACTTCCACGGATGTCTGGGTACGTTGTGTGTCACCTTTGACTTCCACAGATGTCTGGGTACGTTGTGTGTCACCGTTGAGTTCCACGGATGTCTGGGTACGTTGTGTGTCACGTTTGACTTCCACGGATGTCTGGGTACATTCTGTGTCACGTTTGACTTCCACGGATGTCTGGGTACATTCTGTGTCACGTTTGACTTCCACGGATGTCTGGGTACGTTGTGTGTCACGTTTGACTTCCACGGATGTCTGGGTATGTTTTGTGTCACGTTTGACTTCCACGGATGTCTTGGTACGTTGTGTGTCACGTTTGACTTCCACAGATGTCTGGGTACGTTGTTGGTCACGTTTGACTTCCACGGATGTCTGGGTACGTTGTGTGTCACGTTTGACTTCCACGAATGTCTGAGTACGTTGTGTGTCACCTTTAACTTCCACGGATGTCTTGGTACGTTGTTGGTCATGTTTGCCTTCCATGGATGTCTTGGTACGTTGTGTGTCACCTTTGACTTCCACGGATGTCTTGGTACGTTGTGTGTCATGTTTGACTTCCACGAATGTCTGAGTACGTTGTGTGTCACCTTTAACTTCCACGGATGTCTTGGTACGTTGTTGGTCATGTTTGCCTTCCATGGATGTCTTGGTACGTTGTGTGTCAGGTTTGACTTCCACGGATGTCTTGGTACGTTGTGTGTCACCTTTAACTTCCACGGATGTCTTGGTACGTTGTTGGTCATGTTTGCCTTCCATGGATGTCTTGGTACGTTGTGTGTCAGGTTTGACTTCCACGGATGTCTGGGTACGTTGTGTGTCAGGTTTGATTTCCGTGGATGTCTGGGTACGTTGTGTGTCACGTTTGACTTCCACAGATGTCTGGGTACGTTGTGTGTCAGGTTTGATTTCCGTGGATGTCTGGGTACGTTGTGTGTCACCTTTGACTTCCACAGATGTCTGGGTACGTTGTGTGTCACCGTTGAGTTCCACGGATGTCTGGGTACGTTGTGTGTCACGTTTGACTTCCACGGATGTCTGGGTACATTCTGTGTCACGTTTGACTTCCACGGATGTCTGGGTACATTCTGTGTCACGTTTGACTTCCACGGATGTCTGGGTACGTTGTGTGTCACGTTTGACTTCCACGGATGTCTGGGTATGTTTTGTGTCACGTTTGACTTCCACGGATGTCTTGGTACGTTGTGTGTCACGTTTGACTTCCACAGATGTCTGGGTACGTTGTTGGTCACGTTTGACTTCCACGGATGTCTGGGTACGTTGTGTGTCACGTTTGACTTCCACGAATGTCTGAGTACGTTGTGTGTCACCTTTAACTTCCACGGATGTCTTGGTACGTTGTTGGTCATGTTTGCCTTCCATGGATGTCTTGGTACGTTGTGTGTCACCTTTGACTTCCACGGATGTCTTGGTACGTTGTGTGTCATGTTTGACTTCCACGAATGTCTGAGTACGTTGTGTGTCACCTTTAACTTCCACGGATGTCTTGGTACGTTGTTGGTCATGTTTGCCTTCCATGGATGTCTTGGTACGTTGTGTGTCAGGTTTGACTTCCACGGATGTCTTGGTACGTTGTGTGTCACCTTTAACTTCCACGGATGTCTTGGTACGTTGTTGGTCATGTTTGCCTTCCATGGATGTCTTGGTACGTTGTGTGTCAGGTTTGACTTCCACGGATGTCTGGGTACGTTGTGTGTCAGGTTTGATTTCCGTGGATGTCTGGGTACGTTGTGTGTCACGTTTGACTACCCCAGATGTTTTTGTATGCTACGTTAATTTCATCCAGTTTGAACCTGCCATGCGATTGCAAAACAATGTGAAAAACTGACATCACATAAACTTTGTTGCCAGAACTTTTCAAGGCAGATGTGAACATTAACGGTGGATGGATACTCGTTGTACGTTTGATGTTGTACACCCACTCAGAAACATTCCAGCTACCTGACAACAGCAAATAATCCAGCATGGTCCAGACAATCCAAAGATTGACATTATGAGCATCATTGACAGACAATCAACCAAATCACTACGCCTGACCATCGCCTCACAAACAGCAGCTAATGGTATACCCACCATCGCCACAGGTCGGATTCATGCGCTAACTTTAGATCAAATAAAGTTTGGATGTTAAACTTCGATGAAACAATGCATGTTACATTCCAGAGTTTTGGGTCCTTATAGAAGCTCACAATGTATTATTTTCTTTAGTGTTGTGTTATTTTATTAAGTGGAACTTATTGTCCATACCAGAGACCATATACCAATCCCTATACAGTCTGCCATACTGTTCTTTTGTGAAAGGGAAAACTGGTCAGAGTTGCGTCCCTTAGGTGTCCCATGAAGCCTGCACTCAGTGCATCATCACACCCTGGTCACATCCCTCCTAGACAGTGGTTATTGACTGGATTTCCTGTGCACCATGTGTAATTACATCGGCTGATCTCCGCAAAGGTAAGTCAATTGTTCACCTCACCAAACATGGTAACAGAGGGTACAAGTCAAAACAGGAAATTAGGAAATGTCCTCCACATGTCTTCTGTAATTCATTTAGAAAGCTTTACTGAGGCCTTAAATCTTGTAACCTTGATTTACCGTCTCTTGAGCAAGAGTAGAATGACAGACAGTCTTTGTAATATTCGTAGAAAGAGCATGCTCGATTGTACCTCAAAGGACACTAAAGGCTGGAGCTGTTGATATAACGTAGAAGTTGACTCTTGCAGTGAAGTAAGATGGAGTGTCAAAATGGATGATGAAATACGATCCAGGATGTGAAATGAAAGTAAAATAACACGCAGTGATTTCCATTCTACATCTGGTGGTCAGGCCCCTGACCCTGCACATATAAGCCACTGGACAGTCTTTCCCAGGAGGGCAACATGAACACACCCATCTGTTCCTGGAGCCCTTGTGCAAAACACCTCCTCCTGGTGACTCAAAAAACGAACAACAAATATCAACAATGAAACATTTATTGAAGTCAACAATATCTGGAGCTGATTAGAATGATCTTCTGTTGACCTTGGCCCGTCTGCTTGGTGTTCGATGGCCGCCACTGTGCCAAGTCGATGTTTTCTGCAGTTTCCTCTTGTTTTTCACAGCTTTTCTCCACTTTTCCCGGTAGGACTAACACAAAAATAAACATAATGTATTAATAACTTGCAGCAAAAAATGTCCCTTTCTGGTGTATATGTTTATATGTTCACCCTGACATACCGGCCGCCCCCTCCATTACCTACCTCTATCAGCTTCGGCCTCTGTTCCCTCCATTACCTACCTCTATCAGCTTCGGCCTCTGTTCCCTCCATTTCTCAACCACCGAGTCGAAGTCCTGAGGTCTCTTGAAGAAATCCACACCCTCTGAAAAAACAAGAGTGTAAAGTGTTCACTCACTGTACAGCCATATTCGAGGCAAGGACTCGATGTTCTGAAGACGTTGGTTTTAATTATAGAGCTGTTCTCCAAAACGGACCCGATGCATAAAGATCGCATCTCATGAACACACCAACGTACGGCTGCAACTGCACGTGAAATGCGATGGTTGTGGACAGATATAAGACGGTAGCAGGCATCGGTCAGTTAGTTAGCGTTAGACTACCGTAGGGGGGGACATACCCATACTCTAAGCCAATTAGCAGAAGATATTTAGTTTCTTTCATTGAAGTTTATTCATCTTTTTGTCACATAATGAAGAGAATCATGTTCAGTTCCTTGGAGATCTTCCATTGTTTATTAATAGGTTATCACATTTAGTTCCTTGAATAATTAATAGGTTATCACATTTAGTTCCTTGAATAATTAATAGGTTATCACATTTAGTTCCTTGAATAATTAATAGGTTATCACTAGAGTTGGGAATTGGACCAAAAAGTGTAATGCGATATATTGCAATATTTCAAAAACATATTGCAATATTATTGCAATATATTGGGAAATAATTTCAACCAAGAGAAAAGCTTTTATTCATATCCCTTTGACAAATATTAATATGAAAGCTGCAATGTTAACAATTTGGTCAAAATTATGAACCAATTTTAATAAATTGTACTATTATTTTTATCTACAATCAAATAAAGAGTATGAAGCATTTGTTTTGTCTTTGTTTTGATTTAATAAGGTAAGACTATACATCATGGCATATACATGTCAGTCACAGTCTCCAACCTTTTTCAATCACATTTGAATAATGTTAACTCTCTGAAACAGTTTGAAAAACAATGAAACATTAACATTAACATAAATTTGATAAGAATTATACATCATGACAAATTCCATGTCAGTCATTGTCTCTCATCAAACATTGTGAAAAAAATTACACTCAATGTCAAAAGATTTTCCCTTTTTGTTCCGCACAATGTCAAAGGCGTCAGCCATGTTGGATAAACAATCAAGGGAAGTAACTCTAGTTCCAAGTTGTCAGCAACGTTCGTTCCCAATGATTTCCGATTGTAAAATACGTATTTTTATCAGGTGGTGTTTGAATAATGAGGGAAAAACCGATACGCCAAAAACGTATCGCGATACGTATCGTGATGAATTTATATTGCAATATACCGGTATACCAATAAAACCGCACATCCCTAGTAATCACGTTTAGTTCCTTGAATAATTATTATTTTGTCACATTTAGTTCCCTGGTCATTTTACAGGTAAGTTAAACCAGCTGCACCTCCAGCAAATCTACATCAAATGGACCATGTTCACTTGTAAACCTCATGATGAGCAGTGACTGAGAACAAATTTAGGCTTAAAACATTCAAACTGACTGCAATATTTTCCAACAGGTCATGGCCACAGCTCAGGTAGTGCACCCAGAGACTCCTTGGTGGAGTGGCTTACCTTGAAGACGGTCGTCATCCTCAGAGAAGAAAAACGTCAACTTCCTGACAGGACACACAACACTGTCTGTGTGAGCTGACGGCGCCGAGCTGTAATGACACCAGTGTTGAAGTAACTGTGAGATGCAACCAGTGTCGGCACTTGGAATTGGAATGAACTGTTCTCCATACAGACATTGACTTGTTTGTGAGTATTGGTGAGATGAGGTGAAATGGGGTTTAAAGTCGCATCCAAGATTGCACTAATATAGCGATTGTGTGTGTGTGTGTGTGTGTGTGTGTGTGTGTGTGTGTGTGTGTGTGTGTGTGTGTGTGTGTGTGTGTGTGTGTGTGTGTGTGTGTGTGTGTGTGTGTGTGTGTCTGTGTCTGTGTCTGTGTCTGTGTGTGTGTGTCTGTGTCTGTGTGCCAATTTTTAAAGTGAGATACCATGGCGCTGTTTTAACATGAATACCCCACCCAGACACAGTATACTGAATCCGAGACGACCAGTCCTTGTTTTAGTCCCTTGATGCTGAGCACCAGACAGGGTAACAACAAGTACCATCTTTTACCGTCTTTTGGTATGACACAAGCTGGGGCCGAACCGCCAACCTTCCGCTCTCCGGGCGGACACTCTACCACTAGACCACGGAGACAGACTCTCCATACAGTGAGTGAGGAGTGGGTGAGTTGGGTTTAACACAGCTTTTAACATTATTCCAGTTATATCGCGGCGTGTCAGCTTAATGTTGGAGGGAAGCCTGAAGTTATGCAGGTCTCAGACGTTTACCACTTCGGTGAAACCCATGAGCACGGGTATGGTGCTGACAAACCTAGAAACATAATCGGGGCGAACTGGGATACGAAACCTTAATCATAGGTTTCTGGCGTGCCCAAGGGATGCAACCCTGCACAGCAAATGGTGGTGCCTTAGACAACTGGGCCACCCGTGCCCCCTCTCCATACAGACAATGATTTGTTTGTGACTATTGAATTAAAGTTACAGCTGTGGTGATTTGACAACAAGTATGGAGTCTCTCACAATGACGGCCACACTCACCTCTGTTGCTCCTGATCGTCGTCACTGGAGTCGTCAGTGACATCCACCGAAAACCGGGACTGCCAAGGATTCATGGCACCAGAGGGCGCCTTAACCTCAGGAGCACTGTATTCTGGGAAGAGGTAACAAATCAATCCAATTGACACATATCAAGAGTACTTTACAGATTTGTGACAACTGATGAACACTTCAGAAGTGACAAGCCCTTCATAAAATCATTGAATGTTATACCGTATTCGCTGTGTTAAGCGCCCTGCTCCAGGTAACCTCAAGATTCCCCATACCCTCAGTAATTTCCCCCCTTTCCCTTTATGACATCCCCATCACCTTGTCCCCAGTCATAATCCTGCGGGTGTTTGGGGTCATGACCAACAACTCACCCCCAAATACAAGCCGGGTGTTCGTCTGCCACAATCACAAACATACCTTACCCCCTCCCCCCAATCCTAAGGCTGCCATGCCCAATAACTCACCCCCAGATTGAGACCGTGTGCTGGTCTGACTCTGCCCCCCACCAAGGCCACCATGCCCAATAACTCACCCCCAGATTGAGACCTGGTGTCGGTCTGACTCTGCCCCCCGAAGGCCGCCATGAGGGAGAAGCCTGATGCTGCCGCCTTGTCATCATGCGTCTTGTTGAACACGTCCTGGATTGCAGAGCTCACCTCGAAAAACCGCTCCTTGCTGACCTCGGGCACAACGATCTCAGGGGCCTCAGCCTCCTTGCTGAAAGACACACAAGCAACTGACCTCAGAGACAAGTCATCAGACACACAAGTAAATGACCTCAAAGATGGGTCCTCAGAAACACAAGTAACTGACCTCAAAGATGGGTCCTCAGAAACACAAGTAACTGACCTCAAAGATGGGTCATCAGACACACAAGTAAATGACCTCAAAGACATGTAATCACACACACAAGTAACTGACCTCAAAGATGGGTAATCAGACACACAAGCAAATGTCCTCAAGGACAGATCATCAGACACACATGCAAATGACCTGAAACACAGGTCATCAGACACACAAGTAAATGACCTCAAAGACAGGTAATCAGACACACAAGTAACTGACCTCAAAGACATGTAATCACACACACAAGTAAATGACCTCAAAGATGGGTCATCAGACACATTAGTACATGACCTCAAAGACAGGTCATCAGACACACAAGTTACTGACCTCAAAGATGGGTCATCAGACACATGCTACTGACCTCACAGTACATAGCACTAATACTTGTCAGTCAACAGCACACATGGCGACAAGCGTATGGTTGTGGACAATTACTGATGTCAACTAAAGTACAATGTATATTGAGCTTACTTCTTTTTTGAGCCTTTCTTTTTTGGAATCTTTTCCTTTGGCGTTGTCTGCATCTCCAGTTGTCTGTGCTGTTCGCATGCTGGGTCGAAGTGGAGGGTGCTCACATCCCTAGCGAGAGACAGACACACAATGAATGAAAACCGGTTCCGATTAGTGGCAGCATAACACAAGTGTCCCCCAGCCCAGCCCAGCCCAGCCCAGCCCCAGCCCCAGCCCCAGCCCCAGCCCCTGGACCAGCCCAGCCCAGCCCAGCCCAAGCCCCAGGACCAGCCCCAGCCCCAGCCCCAGCCCCAGGACCAGCCCAGCCCAAGCCCCAGGACCAGCCCAGCCCAAGCCCCAGGACCAGCCACAGCCACAGCCACAGCCACAGCCCCAGGACCAGCCCAGCCCAAGCCCCAGGACCAGCCCAGCCCAAGCCCCAGGACCAGCCACAGCCACAGCCACAGCCACAGCCCCAGGACCAGCCCAGCCCAAGCCCCAGGACCAGCCCAGCCCAAGCCCCAGGACCAGCCACAGCCACAGCCACAGCCACAGCCACAGCCACAGCCCCAGGACCAGCCACAGCCACAGCCACAGCCACAGCACCAGCACCAACCCAGACCCATCATTATGGTGGTAGGTTGAAAGACTTCAGTGAAAATATAAGTGGATCAGAATGATTTCATATATCATTCTCATGGAGCTAGCAATTTAAACAACTTTGAATGATGTTGCTGTATTTTCTCAAAGGTCGGCCAGAGTGACGCTGTCATGGTCACTTGAAACTCACTTGAAGGTTTTCCTCTGACTCTCCTGCCTCTGCATCCTCGCCATCGGCTGCCTCCCGACCACCTCCTCCAGGATCCGCAGCGCCCTCGCCCGCTCGCCCTCCATGTCAACATCCCCTACGTTGCCATCCTCTGCAACAACACATATCCTCCACATCAGCAACAACACATACCCTCCACATCAGCATCTACACATACCCTCCACATCAGCAACAACACATACCCTCCACATCAGCAACAACACATACCCTCCACATCAGCATCAACACATACCCTCCACATCAGCATCTAAACATCAGCATCAGATGTTGCGATGAGGAATAACTACACAATACAGTGTAGGAAAAGATGGACTCAACGTAACTCAAATTGTGACTGGGCCGTGTGCATATTCCACATAGCTACAGTCAGATTGAAACAGTTTCTCTACCTCACCGCATGTCATCTCACTGCATGGTCTCGACATCATGACATATCACAACATATTTCCAGACTGACACCCTTACCTTCATTTTGGAGACAGAAAAGCCTACCACAATCTCAAACAAGACAAGTGCCTTGCTTCCAGCCAGCGTCAGGAGGGACCAAAATACATTTCCAGTCTTCAGCTACATCCCTCAATATATTCTAAAACACCATCCCATGCCTCTGGTTAGCTTAAGAGAGTTATCTGCCCTTGGTAAATGACGTTGGCCTTCAGTACAGATGCAGAAGCATTTCACAAATGACCATTCCAGTGACCTTGGCATGTAATGAAGGTCACCAAACATCTAACCACTTCTCGATTCTTCATGTATGACCTTGAGAGTGAATGTGACCTTCATTTCCAGTGACAAGTATCTGAAGAACATTGCCATGGGCTGCACACAAACCAACTGAAATCCCTCGGTGGAATACAAAGTAACCACAAAAACATGGCCACCATGACCTACTTCTGATATTATCCGATTTTAGTCACTAGTCGTACAACTTAAACAATTCTGCAGGAATGTCACTGAAGTGGCAACCTTTTTCTAATGAAAGACTTTGAGGAAAGAAACTTTTCTTCAGGATGTGACCGTCAGTGAGTTGTGTTAAATGCCTCCAAAAACAGAATTCTTCTTATTGTCAGCCTAATCTGGGATGAATCCCGAAGTGATGCAGGTCTCAGACATTTAGCTCTTCGGTCAAACCCACAAGCATGGCTCTGGTGCTGACAAACCTTGAAAAAATCAGGATTCGAACCCACAATCATAGGTTTCTGGTGTGCTCAAGGGCCGCAACTCTGCAGAGCGAATTGTCACACACACAAATGACCTACCTTTCTCCTGTTCCTCATCGCTCTCCACGAAGCGCTCGTCCAGACGGAACCGGTGATCACTTCCCAGACGGGCCTGAAGCTGCATCAACTGACAAACAATACAATGAGTGAGTGAGTGAGTAGGGTTTTACGCCACTTTTAGCAATATTCCAGCAATATCCCGCTGGGGGACACCAGAAATGGGCTTCAGACAAACAATACACAGGGATTAAACTAGACGCAAAGCTATACATTGATGCACCGGTGCATCCGGAGTTTTTATGCGCCAATACGATACATGATACATTTTTGTCTGTATCTATTCAAGACGATACACTTGCTAAAATACATTCCTGTTCATTACGACTCCCCGACATTTTTATCAGTCAAAAATCACAAAATGTGTTGTAATTTCGTTCACTCTTAAAATTAGCCGTAACGAACAAGTGTCCACAGCCAGCTTTTCCTTTTGAACCTGCTCTGAAATATTTATAGTCAAGACATTTCCATGTGATTTAACGTAAACAAACATATCGTGATACGTATCGTATCGTGACATTGCTGTATCGTTTCACATCTACATAAAACTGACAGGAACTATGGGTTTCCTATACACCTGAATAACATTGAAACAGAAGTGTCAAGACTTCTTTGTTTGTTTGTTATTTAACGCCACAGCAATTTTCCAGGTATATGACGCCGTTCAGGAAATATTCAAGTCTGAACAGACAATCCAGTGATTGATATGAGCATGGATCCACACAATCTTTCGACACGATGGGTTGCTGAAGACCAATTCTAACCCCGATCTTCCCGGGGACAAGCATGGGTAGCTTAAGACCAAGTGGAGCCCTGATCCCTGTGATCCCTACCTTGCTGCCCTTCTCCCCTTCATACTGAGGCCGAACACGGAACATCTCCTCCTCGTCCTCCTCCTCCGATGATCCTGAGCTACCGAAGAGGGGCATGCGCTTCTGAAACATAAACACACACCTGTTACAGCAGACACACCTCGTTACAGCAGGCACATCTCATTACAGCAGACACACCTAGTTACAGCAGACACACCTAGTTACAGCAGACACATCTTTTACAGCAGACACACCCTTTACAGCAGATACACCTTGTTACAGCAGATACACCTTGTTACAGCAGACACCTCATTACAGCAGAAACACCTTGTTACAGCAGAAACACCTTGTTACAGCAGAAACACCTTATTACAGCAGATACCTCGTTACAGCAGACACATCTCATAGCAGCGGACACCTCGTTACAGAGGACACACCTTGTTACAGCAGACACACCTCGTTACAGCAGACACACCTCGTTAACTGACTCTAAAAGTCCAGTTTCCACCTTTGCTGAACTAGGCTGGAATTCCTAGGCTCGATCGTGGCGCCACCAGTGGTTATTGACTGTGTATTGACTGTGACAGACAGACTGACCTACCTTTACCAGAGATGAATCTCTGTCCTCACTACTGTCCTCACTACTGTCATCACTACTGTTATCATCATCATCAGATGAAGGAGACGACAGCGTGGTGCTGACAGCTGTTACTGATGTTGATGCCGCTGCTGCTGGTGTTTCCTCCTTGTCATCATCAGAGTCGAACACGATCTTCTTGTTGAGTCTGCTGCCGGAGTCCTGAAACAATGTGTCCTGTTACCATGTGTCCTGTTACCATGTGCAGTGTTACCGTGTGTCCTGTTACCCAATACCATGTGTCCTGTTACCATGTGTCCTGTTACCATGTGTCCTGTTACCATGTGTCCTGTTACCATGTGTCCTGTTACCATGTGCAGTGTTACCATGTGTCCTGTTACCATGTGCAGTGTTACCGTGTGTCCTGTTACCCAATACCATGTGTCCTGTTACCATGTGTCCTGTTACCATGTGTCCTGTTACCATGTGTCCTGTTACCATGTGCAGTGTTACCGTGTGTCCTGTTATCATGTGTCATGTAATCGTGTGTCCTGTTACCCAATACCATGTGTCCTGTTACCATGTGTCCTGTTACCATGTGTCCTGTTACCATGTGTCCTGTTACCGTGCATGGTTTTACCGTGTGTCCTGTTATCATGTCATGTTACCGTGTGTCCTGCTACCATGTGTCCTGTTACCATGTGTCCTGCTACCATGTGTCCTGTTACCATGTGTCCTGCTATCATGTGTCATGTTACCGTGTGTCCTGTTATCATGTGTCCTGCTACCATGTGTCCTGCTACCATGTGTCCTGCTACCATGTGTCCTGTTATCATGTGTCATGTTACCGTGTGTCCTGTTATCATGTGTCCTGCTACCATGTGTCCTGCTACCATGTGTCCTGCTATCATGTGTCCTGCTACCATGTGTCCTGTTATCATGTGTCCTGCTACCATGTGTCCTGCTACCATGTGTCCTGCTACCATGTGTCCTGCTACCATGTGTCCTGTTATCATGTGTCCTGCTATCATGTGTCCTGCTTCCATGTGTCCTGTTATCATGTGTCCTGCTACCATGTGTCCTGCTACCATGTGTCCTGCTACCATGTGTCCTGCTACCATGTGTCCTGTTATCATGTGTCCTGCTATCATGTGTCCTGCTACCATGTGTCCTGTTATCATGTGTCCTGCTACCATGTGTCCTGCTACCATGTGTCCTGTTATCATGTGTCCTGCTATCATGTGTCCTGCTACCATGTGTCCTACTACCATGTGTCCTGCTATCATGTGTCCTGTTATCATGTGTCCTGCTATCATGTGTCCTACTACCATGTGTCCTGTTATCATGTGTCCTGTTATCATGTGTCCTGTTATCATGTGTCCTGCTATCATGTGTCCTACTACCATGTGTCCTGCTACCATGTGTCCTGCTGCCATGTGTCCTGCTACCATGTGTCCTGTTATCATGTGTCCTGCTACCATGTGTCCTGCTACCATGTGTCCTGCTACCATGTGTCCTGTTATCATGTCCTGCTATCATGTGTCCTGTTATCATGTGTCCTGCTACCATGTGTCCTGCTGCCATGTGTCCTGCTACCATGTGTCCTGCTACCATGTGTCCTGTTACCATGTGTCCTGTTATCATGTGTCCTGTTACCATGTGTCCTGTTACCATGTGTCCTGTTATCATGTCCTGCTATCATATGTCATGTTACCGTGTGTCCTGTTATCATGTGTCCTGCTGCCATGTGTCCTGCTACCATGTGTCCTGCTACCATGTGTCCTGCTACCATGTGTCCTGTTATCATGTGTCCTGCTACCATGTGTCCTGTTACCATGTGTCCTGTTACCATGTCCTGCTATCATGTGTCCTGCTACCATGTGTCCTGCTACCATGTGTCCTGTTACCATGTCCTGCTACCATGTGTCCTGTTACCATGTCCTGCTACCATGTGTCCTGTTACCATGTCCTGCTGCCATGTGTCCTGCTACCATGTGTCCTGTTATCATGTGTCCTGCTACCATGTGTCCTGCTACCATGTGTCCTGCTATCATGTGTCCTGTTATCATGTCCTGCTACCATGTGTCCTGCTATCATGTGTCCTGTTATCATGTGTCCTGCTATCATGTGTCCTGCTGCCATGTGTCCTGTTATCATGTGTCATGTTACCGTGTGTCCTGTTACCCAATACCATGTGTCCTGTTACCATGTGTCCTGTTACCATGTGTCCTGTTACCGTGCATGGTTTTACCGTGTGTCCTGTTATCATGTCATGTTACCGTGTGTCCTGCTACCATGTGTCCTGCTACCATGTGTCCTGCTACCATGTGTCCTGTTACCATGTGTCCTGTTATCATGTGTCCTGCTACCATGTGTCCTGCTACCATGTGTCCTGCTACCATGCTACCATGTGTCCTGCTACCATGTGTCCTGCTACCATGTGTCCTGTTATCATGTGTCATGTTACCGTGTGTCCTGTTATCATGTGTCCTGCTACCATGTGTCCTGCTACCATGTGTCCTGTTATCATGTGTCATGTTACTGTGTGTCCTGTTATCATGTGTCCTGCTACCATGTGTCCTGCTACCATGTGTCCTGCTACCATGTGTCCTGCTATCATGTGTCCTGCTACCATGTGTCCTGTTATCATGTGTCCTGCTACCATGTTTCCTGCTACCATGTGTCCTGCTACCATGTGTCCTGCTACCATGTGTCCTGTTATCATGTGTCCTGCTATCATGTGTCCTGCTACCATGTGTCCTGTTATCATGTGTCCTGCTACCATGTGTCCTGCTACCATGTGTCCTGCTACCATGTGTCCTGTTATCATGTGTCCTGCTATCATGTGTCCTGCTACCATGTGTCCTGTTATCATGTGTCCTGCTACCATGTGTCCTGCTACCATGTGTCCTGCTACCATGTGTCCTGTTATCATGTGTCCTGCTATCATGTGTCCTGCTACCATGTGTCCTGTTATCATGTGTCCTGCTACCATGTGTCCTGCTACCATGTGTCCTGTTATCATGTGTCCTGCTATCATGTGTCCTGCTACCATGTGTCCTGTTATCATGTGTCCTGCTACCATGTGTCCTGCTACCATGTGTCCTGTTATCATGTGTCCTGCTATCATGTGTCCTGCTACCATGTGTCCTACTACCATGTGTCCTGTTATCATGTGTCCTGCTATCATGTGTCCTACTACCATGTGTCCTGTTATCATGTGTCCTGTTATCATGTGTCCTGTTATCATGTGTCCTGCTATCATGTGTCCTACTACCATGTGTCCTGCTACCATGTGTCCTGCTGCCATGTGTCCTGCTATCATGTGTCCTGTTATCATGTGTCCTGCTACCATGTGTCCTGCTACCATGTGTCCTGCTACCATATGTCCTGCTACCATGTGTCCTGTTATCATGTGTCCTGCTATCATGTGTCCTGCTGCCATGTGTCCTGCTACCATGTGTCCTGTTATCATGTGTCCTGCTACCATGTGTCCTGCTACCATGTGTCCTGCTACCATGTGTCCTGTTATCATGTCCTGCTATCATGTGTCCTGTTATCATGTGTCCTGCTACCATGTGTCCTGCTGCCATGTGTCCTGCTACCATGTGTCCTGCTACCATGTGTCCTGTTACCATGTGTCCTGCTACCATGTCCTGCTACCATGTGTCCTGCTACCATGTGTCCTGTTACCATGTGTCCTGTTATCATGTCCTGCTATCATGTGTCATGTTACCGTGTGTCCTGTTATCATGTGTCCTGCTGCCATGTGTCCTGCTACCATGTGTCCTGCTACCATGTGTCCTGCTACCATGTGTCCTGTTATCATGTGTCCTGCTACCATGTGTCCTGTTACCATGTGTCCTGTTACCATGTCCTGTTATCATGTGTCCTGCTACCATGTGTCCTGCTACCATGTGTCCTGTTACCATGTCCTGCTATCATGTGTCCTGCTACCATGTGTCCTGCTACCATGTGTCCTGTTATCATGTGTCCTGCTACCATGTGTCCTGCTACCATGTGTCCTGCTATCATGTGTCCTGTTATCATGTCCTGCTATCATGTGTCCTGCTACCATGTGTCCTGCTACCATGTGTCCTGTTACCATGTCCTGCTATCATGTGTCCTGCTACCATGTGTCCTGCTACCATGTGTCCTGTTATCATGTGTCCTGCTACCATGTGTCCTGCTACCATGTGTCCTGCTATCATGTGTCCTGTTATCATGTGTCCTGCTACCATGTGTCCTGTTATCATGTGTCCTGCTACCATGTGTCCTGCTACCATGTGTCCTGCTATCATGTGTCCTGTTATCATGTCCTGCTATCATGTGTCCTGTTATCATGTGTCCTGCTACCATGTGTCCTGTTACCATGTGTCCTGTTATCATGTGTCCTGTTATCATGTGTCCTGTTATCATGTGTCCTGTTATCATGTGTCCTGCTGCCATGTGTCCTGCTACCATGTGTCCTGCTATCATGTGTCCTGTTATCATGTGTCCTGCTGCCATGTGTCCTGCTATCATGTGTCCTGTTATCATGTGTCCTGCTACCATGTGTCCTGTTATCATGTGTCCTGCTGCCATGTGTCCTGTTATCATGTGTCCTGTTATCATGTGTCCTGCTACCATGTGTCCTGTTATCATGTCCTGCTATCATGTGTCCTGTTATCATGTGTCCTGCTACCATGTGTCCTGTTATCATGTGTCCTGCTATCATGTGTCCTGTTATCATGTGTCCTGCTACCATGTGTCCTGCTATCATGTGTCCTGTTATCATGTGTCCTGCTGCCATGTGTCCTGCTATCATGTGTCCTGTTATCATGTGTCCTGCTATCATGTGTCCTGTTATCATGTGTCCTGCTGCCATGTGTCCTGCTATCATGTGTCCTGTTATCATGTGTCCTGCTATCATGTGTCCTGTTATCATGTGTCCTGCTGCCATGTGTCCTGCTATCATGTGTCCTGTTATCATGTGTCCTGCTATCATATGTCCTGTTATCATGTCCTGCTATCATGTGTCCTGCTATCATGTGTCCTGCTATCATGTGTCCTGTTATCATGTGTCCTGCTACCATGTGTCCTGCTACCATGTGTCCTGTTATCATGTGTCCTGCTGCCATGTGTCCTGTTATCATGTGTCCTGCTATCATGTGTCCTGTTATCATGTGTCCTGCTACCATGTGTCCTGCTATCATGTGTCCTGTTATCATGTGTCCTGCTGCCATGTGTCCTGCTATCATGTGTCCTGTTATCATGTGTCCTGCTACCATGTGTCCTGTTATCATGTGTCCTGCTACCATGTGTCCTGCTATCATGTGTCCTGTTATCATGTGTCCTGCTACCATGTGTCCTGCTACCATGTGTCCTGCTATCATGTGTCCTGTTATCATGTGTCCTGCTGCCATGTGTCCTGCTATCATGTGTCCTGTTATCATGTGTCCTGCTACCATGTGTCCTGTTATCATGTGTCCTGCTGCCATGTGTCCTGTTATCATGTGTCCTGTTATCATGTGTCCTGTTATCATGTGTCCTGCTGCCATGTGTCCTGCTATCATGTGTCCTGTTATCATGTGTCCTGCTACCATGTGTCCTGTTATCATGTGTCCTGCTGCCATGTGTCCTGTTACCATGTGTCCTGTTATCATGTGTCCTGCTACCATGCTACCATGTGTCCTGTTATCATGTGTCCTGCTATCATGTGTCCTGTTATCATGTGTCCTGCTACCATGTGTCCTGTTATCATGTGTCCTGCTGCCATGTGTCCTGTTATCATGTGTCCTGCTACCATGTGTCCTGCTGCCATGTGTCCTGCTACCATGTGTCCTGCTACCATGTGTCCTGTTATCATGTCCTGCTATCATGTGTCCTGTTATCATGTGTCCTGCTATCATGTGTCCTGTTATCATGTGTCCTGCTATCATGTGTCCTGTTATCATGTGTCCTGCTGCCATGTGTCCTGCTACCATGTGTCCTGCTACCATGCTACCATGTGTCCTGCTATCATGTGTCCTACTACCATGTGTCCTGTTATCATGTCCTGCTATCATGTGTCCTGTTATCATGTGTCCTGCTATCATGTGTCCTGCTACCATGTGTCCTGCTACCATGTGTCCTGCTACCATGTGTCCTGCTATCATGTGTCCTGCTACCATGTGTCCTGCTATCATGTGTCCTGCTACCATGTGTTACATTGTTACTCGTTACATTACGATGAATACTGTTGTTAATACTTGTTATATTATGATGAATACTGTTGTCAATACTTGTTATATTATGATGAAAACTGTTGTTAATACTTGTTATATTATGATGAATACTGTTGTCAATACTTGTTATATTATGATGAATACTGTTGTTAATAATTGTTTTATTATGATGAATAATGTTGTCAATACTTGTCATATTATGATGAATACTGTTGTTAATACTTGTTATATTATGATGAATACTGTTGTTAATAATTGTTATATAATGATGAATACTGTTGTTAATACTTGTTATATTATGATGAATACTGTTGTCAATACTTGTTATATTATGATGAATACTGTGGTTAATTAAGAATTGACTTCACTACGTTAGTTCATTGGAGAATGAACCTTCATAGAGTGAGGGCCAAACGGTATGAACGTAGGAGCTTGTGACAACGTTCATACAGTTTGGCCATCAGTCTATGATGTGCATTTCTAGGTTTTGTTCAGGATGTTCAGGATGGACCCAGGATGGGTCGTACGAGGATATTCATGAACGATCATGCAGTCAAACTCTGACGTTTCTCAGTGTATACTAAAATGCTGAGTTCAAGATTAAATGGTCTTAATGATCAGAAAGAACGCTTCTGTATGTATTCGTGCTAGGGATTTCCCAGGTGTTTCCCCAGGAATGTGGAAGTAGTCCGTCAGTGTTTACGTCATTTCAAGAACGTCAATTTCATGGACAGGTGACCGACCTCTTGTCCAATTGAAAAGCTGTATATCACGTAAACTTCAAATTAAAAAATTATTTCTTTTTACCACATTTCACAATGAATATTGTTGTTTATAACTGTTACCACATTTCAAAGAACACCAGAGTTTGAAGTTAAACATTTAAGTTAGAGCTATCAGACTGAGTGAGGTCGAGACTTACCACATGAGCTAGAGCGTCACGCACTGCAGCTTTGCGACTCTGTACCTCTCTCTTCCTCTCTCGTATCGTTTCCAGACGGCGCCGGTTGTCATCCATATGCTTCTCCGCCTGACTCAGCTTCTCTCTGCCTGTGTTGTTGAAATCAGTCCTACTTTTATCTGAAGATTTTGGAACATCTTTACCCCGCTGACCCTCCTCCGACTTCCCGGCCTGTCTGTCCACCATCTTCTCCGCACCAGGGGCCAGTTTTGTCTTCTGATTGGCAGACCTGTCACCTCTAATCCCAGATTCCTCTTTCAGGGACTTCTTCTGCTTTTTTGAAGGTCGATATTCCTGAGAACTGTCACTCTCCTCTCCGCTGTCGATCACTCGTTGTGGATACACAATCCTGCCTCCATCTACAGAAAAGCCACAGGAGAACTCATCCACTGCCCTGGACAGACCAGCAGACGATGGGGCAGACGACGGGGCAGACGACGGAGCAGACGACGGAGCAGACGTCATCTTGCTTTGGCCAGCAGGTGGGACTGTGGTCCTTGAAGACTTTCTGAAGCTGGCCAGAATCTCATCAGTGTCTGCTGACCCAGTGGAGTCACTGTCTTCAGCATCCGTGCTTTGTCTATCTGGTTTCTTGCTGTCATTGACTGCTCCTGGTTTTTGGTCTTTGGACTTTTTCGCAACTTTCCCAGGAGGTGTGCCGGAGACATCCCCCTGATCCAACACAGCTCTCCCTCGGAACTCTGGAATCCCAGACTTCCTTCGAGACTGAGGCTCATTCCTGCCAGAGTCGGAGTCGGGGTCGGAGTCGGAGTCGGGGTCAGAGTCGGAGTCGGGGTCAGAGTCGGAGTCGGGGTCAGAGTCAGGGTTGGAGTCGGAGTCAGAGCCGGAGTCCTTATCGTCATTCTCGTACTTGGAGCTGCCTGAGCTCCCAAGCTGTCCGTCCTCAAGTTCCATGGAGGACGCATTATCACTGGAACTGTCCGACGCAGATTCCGACTCACTTGACTCCCTGTTAGAACAATCAGTTGGTCTGCCACTTCCCTTCTCCTGGGACGATCCCTCCTCCTCCGCACCACTGCTGTCTCCACTGGAGGAGTCTGAAGCTGATGACTTCAAGTTTAACTTACTGGGTGTCTTAGATGCAAATTTCTTAACATGAGATCCTGGCTTTGCTCCTTTCTTCCCTGCGACATACACAAATGACTCAGACTGGACATCGCCGGTCTCACTCTCACTGTCAGAACTGGTGTAGTGTTCCTGGAACCTTTTACTTGGCTGACGAACAGCGTTTGTCTTCTTCTTGCCAGCTGTCTTTGACTTTGTAGCAGCGATGATTTCGTCAGTATCAGCAGACTCCTGATCGGAGGAGCCTTTCTCTGGAGCCATCACTTTGTCCAAGGAGCCTTTACCTCTGCTGCCACCATTTTGTTGACTTGAGTTGTTCTTCACCGTCCCGTCTCGGAGCAGAATCTCGAAGTTGTTGGCTTCTTTCACGACTTTAGCGTGTCTGTGTTTCTGCTGAGTCAGGAAGTCCATCACCATCTGGCTGGCGGCCCTCTTGCTTTTCTTGTGCTCCACAGGGAATTCCCCTTTCCGCTTCCGCGTGATGTCCGAGTCCTGGTCACCAATAGTCCATGTGAGGCTGACCCGACCTTTCTCTGCAAGGCCATCATCCTTCAGCTTCTTCAGGTTGTGACAGAGCTTGGACGGGTCAACACGGACAATCTGACAATCATATACGTGTCATGATCAGACACTATGGTTAACAGATAAAACAATTCACCTAAATGTAGACAGTTGTGCTTTCAAAGGATATTACCACTTTTGATAATTTACAAGAAATCTTTTATTTATATACTTATCCTATCTCACAATATGCATTCCTCTGTACTCTTCCATCCTGGCATGGAAACGTCCTAGAACCAAGTTTCCAGCTTCAAAATGCATACATCACTTCTATCAACACTGTATTTATGGGTCACACACCACTGCCAAACCGTGGGATGTGATCCTGTGGGATGCGATCCTGTGCGATGAGATCTTGTGTGATGTGACCCCCAAGCAATCCGATCACGAGTTATTCCCTACACCCTCATTCGACTTTCTGGGGCATACAGTCTTGTGTGACCATGATACGGGGATTGTTGGGTGGGAGTTAATCCTGTGAGAGGATAAGTAGACAAATATACAATTTATCATAAAATTTTCAAATTCATAAATTCATCCTATCTCACACCATCCCATTTATCCCATGGTTGGAAATGGGACGCAAATATCCTAGTCTGTAACAGGACCTCAACCATGTGATGTACACGAGGGAGCTGGTTCTAAATCTTGATCCAAGGATTGTCCCAAAGTCTCAATGGAGAAGAACTTATGTAAGGATTGCTTCAGGCACCCTCTTTGACAGCATGGACTCGGGTAATCATGTGTTTTCCGTGGTTTCACACAGGACGTCGATCCAAAGAACGATCACGTAACTCTGTGCCTACTCAGCCTCGACTTAACCTCACCCCATATAAAAGGAGGTGTTCTGTCACAAACACCAATAAACAAATAAACAAGAAAGGTCTCACACATACCCACCAATGGACATAAAGTGGATCAGCTTGTTATCTATTTTATTCACTTCATCACAGCTATCAATCACAAGCGCAGAGATTGAGTACACTGAGAACGAGAGATGGACAACCAACTACTGAGACATCACAAGACAGAGGTGAGCAGTTAGAAGATTGGGACACCATTTAAACAAATGGCTGCATCGGATGGTGACTTCTATAAGGTAGACCGGAGTCTCAACAGACAAACATATGTAGGCTAAACCCGGGAACTTGACTGGAAACCCAAATAAATCAGAAGAACAAGTAAACAAGCATGAAATACTCATATCCCCCGCCAATATCTGCTCCAGAAACGAGCACTACCGCCACTTTCAGTCCAAGTCAAAGTCGTTGCAATGGAAACTCGAAAAATAATGTTTTCAAAAATCCCAAACTATCAAAAGGGGCCTGTTCACCACTAGACCTATCTATGTGCCAAGTTTGTGTAAGATATTTCTCATGGTTTTTTAGTTCTGCTCCGGAAATGAAACATGACAGACAGAAGGACAGACAGCACCCATTCCTGTATCCCCCTTCAACTTTGTGGCGGAGGATAATAACTTCAAGTATTCATTGTCATATATACAGGAGACGAGGCGGGGGACTTTAGCACACGAGGTATCCTCATCTGCACTGCAGGCTGTAGGGCCAACACAAGAGGACCAAAGTGATGCAGGACGTGGACATCGGCGACCGAGACATCACGGTAATGAGAGGCAAGGACCATGTCAGACAAAAGCATCCCCATGGAACTTTGAGCAGATCAACGGAAACTTGCAACTGAGCAACTTCCTGAGACACCTACCTGCACCTGAAGGTGACTGGGACCTGTCACATGCGACCGAGACATCGACCGGAATGTGGTCGTCAAAGCGTGTAAGTCAGCAGTAAGAAAAGAATCTGAGAGTACGTCCTCTTCAATTGACAACGACGAAATGGTCGTGGAAGCGGTCTTGCCAGAAGATGAGGGAAAAACTGTAACGGTGGAGAAAACCTTACGTTTCGGTTTCTTAACAGACGAGGGACCATGTTCGGAGGCGTTGGATCGCCGATCAACCGACCGTTTGATGCTCTTAAGAAGATAAGTCTTAATTCGAATCCCGAAAAGGTTACAACATTTTTTTACATCTATCAGTACCACAGACACCACGACAATCACAACACACAGTATGGGGGTCATGAGGGGGATAACATCCCTTACATTCCTTACAGCGAGGGCGTGACGGCTCCATTGACTCATGTCATGTATATAACTTCGTAGCAGTTGGAAATGATAAAGAGAATTGACTGCTCCGTAAAAAAGAAAAGAAAATGTATTCTCACTTCTTAAGAACATCCTATTCTCCAGGCAATAAGAAAGAGAATGAGGTTGTAGGGAACATTGGATGATCGGATGGCTGGGGATCGGATGGCTGGAGATCGGATGGCTGAGGATCGGATGGCTGGGGATCAGATGGCTGGGGATCAGATGGCTGAGGATCGGATGGCTGGGGATCGGATGGCTGGGGATCGGATGGCTGGGGATCGGATGGCTGGGGATCGGATGGCTGGGGATCGGATGGCTGGGGATCGGATGGCTGGGGATCGCATCCCCTGGGACGGAAGTGGTGCGTGACCCATGAGCACCGTGATGATAGTACTGATGCAGGGGATGTGTTGGGGGGAGTTGTATTTTGAAGCTGGAAACTTCTAGGATGTTTCCATCCACATGAAGGTGCCATGAGGACGAGGCAGCCTGTGACGGGCAAGTTAAACCCAGCAGGACTGACCACCAGGGGTGTTGATGGCTACCTTGTGCTGGCTTTGCTTCTTGAGGTGGACGATGGGGAGGACTCGGCCGTACTTGCCGACTACCCAATTCTGAAAACATAATGCCAGTCATATATACTTGTCGACTGTACATTGATATTTACTAGTCTAGTTCTACTCCAATAATCATGTTAATGTGGAATTTATATATACCTAATTTCCTTACCAAAAAACCTAGGCATGTCTAGATCAAAGTCTTAGAGTTGATTCGAAGCAGAGGAGGTAAAAATCTTTTTTTTTAAAAATTACAATTATTTTAAGGAAATGTTTTCATAGGCTATGTGTTAGTCTACTACTAGTCCACAATATAAATATATCTATCGGAGTACTGTCAGAAATGCTAGAAAAAATGCTTTTTGGCGTCATTTATCAAATACGAATCACAGGGCTGTGTAAATAGTACATTTCAAAATACAGCAAATCTACCTAATCTGGCCTATCCTAACTGACACTGTGATCAGGGTAATTTTACAGGTAAAATGATGATAAACTTAGAAAATATTCTTGTGTTGTCATGCATGTATGAGATGGCTTATAGCCTGAGGTAATTACCTAACACCCGTCCCGATGGTGATGACCTCACACCGGCCCGTGCTTTCACACAGACTACATAATGATGATTATAACAGAGTGGCATGCACATATTTCTATAATCCACTTCAGACTTCCCTCATTGGACTCAGAGTATATCTAAACTTGCTGTTTTAGGTCGAATTTTTCTCCTGTAAAATTGTCAACAGGACGCCTTGTGACTGAAATACTTTATACCACAGGTAGGCAGATCAGCAGTTACTCGATATTTCAATAGCAACAGTCTGTGAAACATTCTGTATTCTTTCTTGTTTGATAGGGAAACAACACTCCAACTTTTAAAGTATTGAAATACAAATCGGCTTTTTCTTTGAGCATTCAAAATTTGCTCATAATGGACTATAATTTTGACTGGTTTGACTTTTGTTCGGCAACATTCTCGGTACGCTGCGTGAAGCGACACCTATCGGGGGAATTGAAAAATGAGAAGCTGTGTATCATAACAAAGAGTGAGTGAGTGAGTTGGGTTTAACGCCGCTTTTAACAGTATTCCAGTTATATCGCAGCGTGTCAGCTTAATGTGGGAGGAAAGCCCGAAGTGATGCAGGTCACAGACGTTTACCACTTCGGTGAAACCCACGGGCACGGGTATGGTGCTGACAAACCTAGAAACATAATCGGGGCGAACCGGGATTCGAACCCACAATCATAGATTTCTGGCGTGCCCAAGGGACGCAATTCTGCACAGCGAATCGCGGCGCCTTAGACGACTGGGCCACCCGTGCCCCCCTCATAACAAAGAATATACAATGAAGAGCACCAGCCAAACTGACTTTGTTGTTGAGTAATGCTATTACCAGTGGCTACTACAAAATCTGTCCCTTCTATGTCCTGACAAGAAGGGAGTAGTAATGGTTGTATACCAAATTACAAACTTGTACGTCCACATTTACACACGCAGATGAACTTGCAAGGTGAAAGGTTATAGTAAGCATCATTGAGTCATATGTGATAATTCAAGGGGATTCCACCTCGCTGTCAACAAGGTCCTCCAATCACACACTTGCCGGTCCAAAGACCAGTTTGTTTGGCCACTGACACTAAGTGGCATCTGGTGATTACGCGGAATAATTAAAACTTGGTCGGCTAGACAGCTGAAAGTTGGAGTGTTGTTTCACTTTAACAGGCAAAAAGCATTTTTCTTCATTTCTGACAGTACTTTAGTCCACAATACAATCACATGTATTCGTCAACAATACAATGATACATACTAGTCAGCCTACATGGCTGGAATCAACTGTAGCCATCTACAACTCAGGTAAACCCGTGAAGATCAGGGTTGGAATAGGTCTTCAGAAACCCATGCTTGCCTAAAAGGCAACTATACTTGTCGCAAGAGGCGACTACAGGACCGGGTGGTCAGACTCGCTGACTTAGTTGGTGCATGTCATCGTATCCCAATTATGTGGAACAATGCTCATGTTGTCAATCACTGGATTGTCTGGTCCAGACTCGATTATTTACAGACCGCCGTCATATAGCTGGATTTTTGCTGAGTGCAGCATTAAACAACAAACAAACAACTAAAGCACCGACCTTCTCCCCGGGGATGGGGGTGCCTGGGACAGCTCCCCTCATCACAAAGTCCTGCACCCCTGGCGCCTCAGCGAGGGGGTCGTGTAGATGGGCGGTCCTGCCGTCATCCTGGGGGAGGGCAGCCTCACCTCGCTCCTTCTCCAGCCTGCAGACAATGTGAGGATGAGTTACGGAGGAGGAACACTGCAATAGGGTCACAGCTTCCCTTCCACAACTACACGGCACTTCGGCAAGCTGCAAAATAACCCCTCCCTTACAACATCACACTTCAGTAAGCTGTGAACTAAACCCTCCCTTCCAACATCACACTTCAGCAAGCTGTGAAATAAACCCTCCCTTCAAACATCAAACTTCAGTAAGCTGTGAAATAAACCCTCCCTTACAACATCACACTTCAGCAAGCTGTGAAATAAATCCTCCCTTACAACATCACACTTCAGTAAGCTGTGAAATAACCCCTCCCTTACAACATCACACTTCAGCAAGCTGTGAAATAAACCCTCCCTTACAACATCACACTTCAGTAAGCTGTGAAATAAACCCTCCCTTACAACATCACACTTCAGTAAGCTGTGAAATAAACCCTCCCTTACAACATCACACTTCAGGAAGCTATGAAATAACCCCTCCCTTACAACATCACACTTCAGTAAGCTGTGAAATAACCCCTCCCTTACAACATCACACTTCAGTAAGCTGTGAAATAACCCCTCCCTTACAACATCACACTTCAGTAAGCTGTGAAATAACCCCTCCCTTACAACATCACACTTCAGTAAGCTGTGAAATAACCCCTCCCTTACAACATCACACTTCAGCAAGCTGTGAAATAACCCCTCCCTTACAACATCACACTTCAGCAAGCTGTGAAATAAACCCTCCCTTACAACATCACACTTCAGTAAGCTGTGAAATAACCCCTCCCTTACAACATCACACTTCAGCAAGCTGTGAAATAGCCCCTCCCTTACAACATCACACTTCAGCAAGCTGTGAAATAACCCCTCCCTTACAACATCACACTTCAGTAAGCTGTGAAATAACCCCTCCCTTACAACATCACACTTCAGCAAGCTGTGAAATAACCCCTCCCTTACAACATCACACTTCAGTAAGCTGTGAAATGAACCCTCCCTTACAACATCACACTTCAGTAAGCTGTGAAATAACCCCTCCCTTACAACATCACACTTCAGTAAGCTGTGAAATAACCCCTCCCTTACAACATCACACTTCAGCAAGCTGTGAAATAACCCCTCCCTTACAACATCACATTTCAGTAAGCTGTGAAATAAACCCTCCCTTACAACATCACACTTCAGCAAGCTGTGAAATAGCCCCTCCCTTACAACATCACACTTCAGCAAGCTGTGAAATAACCCCTCCCTTACAACATCACACTTCAGTAAGCTGTGAAATAAACCCTCCCTTACAACATCACACTTCAGTAAGCTGTGAAATAAACCCTCCCTTACAACATCACACTTCAGCAAGCTGTGAAATAGCCCCTCCCTTACAACATCACACTTCAGTAAGCTGTGAAATAACCCCTCCCTTACAACATCACACTTCAGCAAGCTGTGAAATAAACCCTCCCTTACAACATCACACTTCAGTAAGCTGTGAAATAAACCCTCCCTTACAACATCACACTTCAGTAAGCTGTGAAATAAACCCTCCCTTACAACATCACACTTCAGGAAGCTATGAAATAACCCCTCCCTTACAACATCACACTTCAGTAAGCTGTGAAATAACCCCTCCCTTACAACATCACACTTCAGTAAGCTGTGAAATAACCCCTCCCTTACAACATCACACTTCAGTAAGCTGTGAAATAACCCCTCCCTTACAACATCACACTTCAGTAAGCTGTGAAATAACCCCTCCCTTACAACATCACACTTCAGCAAGCTGTGAAATAACCCCTCCCTTACAACATCACACTTCAGCAAGCTGTGAAATAGCCCCTCCCTTACAACATCACACTTCAGTAAGCTGTGAAATAACCCCTCCCTTACAACATCACACTTCAGCAAGCTGTGAAATAACCCCTCCCTTACAACATCACACTTCAGCAAGCTGTGAAATAACCCCTCCCTTACAACATCACACTTCAGTAAGCTGTGAAATAACCCCTCCCTTACAACATCACACTTTGGCAAGCTGTGAAATAACCCCTCCCTTACAACATCACACTTCAGCAAGCTGTGAAATAGCCCCTCCCTTACAACATCACACTTCAGTAAGCTGTGAAATAACCCCTCCCTTACAACATCACACTTCAGTAAGCTGTGAAATAACCCCTCCCTTACAACATCACACTTCAGCAAGCTGTGAAATAACCCCTCCCTTACAACATCACACTTCAGCAAGCTGTGAAATAGCCCCTCCCTTACAACATCACACTTCAGTAAGCTGTGAAATAACCCCTCCCTTACAACATCACACTTCAGCAAGCTGTGAAATAACCCCTCCCTTACAACATCACACTTCAGCAAGCTGTGAAATAACCCCTCCCTTACAACATCACACTTCAGTAAGCTGTGAAATAACCCCTCCCTTACAACATCACACTTTGGCAAGCTGTGAAATAACCCCTCCCTTACAACATCACACTTCAGCAAGCTGTGAAATAACCCCTCCCTTACAACATCACACTTCAGTAAGCTGTGAAATAACCCCTCCCTTACAACATCACACTTCAGTAAGCTGTGAAATAACCCCTCCCTTACAACATCACACTTCAGCAAGCTGTGAAATAGCCCCTCCCTTACAACATCACATTTCAGCAAGCTGTGAAATAACCCCTCCCTTACAACATCACACTTCAGTAAGCTGTGAAATAAACCCTCCCTTACAACATCACACTTCAGCAAGCTGTGAAATAGCCCCTCCCTTACAACATCACACTTCAGCAAGCTGTGAAATAACCCCTCCCTTACAACATCACACTTCAGCAAGCTGTGAAATAACCCCTCCCTTACAACATCACACTTCAGTAAGCTGTGAAATAAACCCTCCCTTACAACATCACACTTCAGCAAGCTGTGAAATAGCCCCTCCCTTACAACATCACACTTCAGTAAGCTGTGAAATAACCCCTCCCTTACAACATCACACTTCAGTAAGCTGTGAAATAACCCCTCCCTTACAACATCACACTTCAGCAAGCTGTGAAATAGCCCCTCCCTTACAACATCACATTTCAGCAAGCTGTGAAATAACCCCTCCCTTACAACATCACACTTCAGTAAGCTGTGAAATAAACCCTCCCTTACAACATCACACTTCAGCAAGCTGTGAAATAGCCCCTCCCTTACAACATCACACTTCAGCAAGCTGTGAAATAACCCCTCCCTTACAACATCACACTTCAGCAAGCTGTGAAATAACCCCTCCCTTACAACATCACACTTCAGCAAGCTGTGAAATAACCCCTCCCTTACAACATCACACTTCAGTAAGCTGTGAAATAACCCCTCCCTTACAACATCACACTTCAGCAAGCTGTGAAATAACCCCTCCCTTACAACATCACACTTCAGTAAGCGGTGAAATAACCCCTCCCTTACAACATCACACTTCAGCAAGCTGTGAAATAAACCCTCCCTTACAACATCACACTTCGGCAAGCTGTGAAATAACCCCTCCCTTACAACATCACACTTCAGCAAGCTGTGAAATAACCCCTCCCTTACAACATCACACTTCAGCAAGCTGTGAAATAACCCCTCCCTTACAACATCACACTTCGGCAAGCTGTGAAATAACCCCTCCCTTACAACATCACACTTCGGCAAGCTGTGAAATAACCCCTCCCTTACAACATCACACTTCGGCAAGCTGTGAAATAACCCCTCCCTTACAACATCACACTTCAGCAAGCTGTGAAATAACCCCTCCCTTACAACATCACACTTCGGCAAGCTGTGAAATAACCCCTCCCTTACAACATCACACTTCGGCAAGCTGTGAAATAACCCCTCCCTTACAACATCACACTTTGGCAAGCTGTGAAATAACCCCTCCCTTACAACATCAAACTTCGGCAAGCTGTGAAATAACCCCTCCCTTACAACATCACACTTCGGCAAGCTGTGAAATAACCCCTCCCTTACAACATCACACTTCGGCAAGCTGTGAAATAACCCCTCCCTTACAACATCACACTTCAGCAAGCTGTGAAATAACCCCTCCCTTACAACATCACACTTCGGCAAGCTGTGAAATAACCCCTCCCTTACAACATCACACTTCGGCAAGCTGTGAAATAACCCCTCCCTTACAACATCACACTTTGGCAAGCTGTGAAATAACCCCTCCCTTACAACATCACACTTCGGCAAGCTGTGAAATAACCCCTCCATTACAACATCACACTACAGCAGGCTGTGAAATAGCCCCTATCCTGGAATGTAACTTCACAATCTGGTACTTGCTGTATCACCATCATAATGATCAAGGAAAAAATGTTTCTGATTGCCATTTGTCTCTGGTATCTTACTTGGTGAGAAAATTCTCTTTGGCTGTTTGCAGGACCATAGTCGAACCCTTCCATTTAGCCCTGGAGAACGTGCTGAAACCTGCAACAACACAGCAACAATAGTTCCGCATATCACAGCATATAGTACAAGACAGTGTGAAGTCAACACTACCTACGAACGAAGCATATAGTACAAGACAGTGTGAAGCCAGCACTACCTACGAACAAAGCATATAGTACAAGACAGTGTGAAGTCAGCACTACCTAGGAACGAAGCATATAGTACAAGACAGTGTGAAGTCAGCACTACCTAGGAACGAAGCATATAGTACAAGACAGTGTGAAGTCAGCACTACCTACGAACGAAGCATATAGTACAAGACAGTGTGAAGTCAACACTACCTAGGAACGAAGCATATAGTACAAGACAGTGTGAAGTCAGCACTACCTACGAACAAAGCATATAGTACAAGACAGTGTGAAGTCAACACTACCTACGAACGACGCATATAGTACAAGACAGTGTGAAGCCAGCACTACCTACGAACAAAGCATATAGTACAAGACAGTGTGAAGTCAACACTACCTACGAACGAAGCATATAGTACAAGACAGTGTGAAGTCAACACTACCTAGGAACAAAGCATATAGTACAAGACAGTGTGAAGCCAGCACTACCTACGAACAAAGCATATAGTACAAGACAGTGTGAAGCCAGCACTACCTACGAACAAAGCATATAGTACAAGACAGTGTGAAGTCAACACTACCTATGAACAAAGCATATAGTACAAGACAGTGTGAAGTCAACACTACCTAGGAACAAAGCATATAGTACAAGACAGTGTGAAGCCAGCACTACCTACGAACAAAGCATATAGTACAAGACAGTGTGAAGTCAACACTACCTACGAACGAAGCATATAGTACAAGACAGTGTGAAGTCAACACTACCTACGAACGACGCATATAGTACAAGACAGTGTGAAGTCAGCACTACCTATGCACGAAGCATATAGTACAAGACAGTGTGAAGCCAGCACTACCTACGAACAACATGAACAAAGCACATCGAAAGACAGAGTGAAGTCATTCATATATGTGTCGCTCTTATTACTCATGTGTCATTCTTTTCACCGACATTCCTTGTTCATATTACTTACGTGTGTCGTTCATATTACTTGTGTGTCATTCATATACCGTATTCGACATAATAAGCGCCCCACTCTAATAAGCGTCCACGGCGATATTTGCTGATATATTGGCTAGTGAACAATCCCAATAAGCACTCCTTCCGATTTATCAATGTACACAAGACTTATTTATTCGCGTATAATACGCACTCGTGTGTTATATGCATTCTTAATTATGGGCAATTAAATTCTGGAAAAATTTATGTCGCATATAAACATTTCAGTGTGTCAGCATAAACCACTTATTACTTATTACGTCGAATACGGTACGTGTCGTTCATATTACTTACGTGTGTCATTCATATTACTCATGTGTGTCATTCATATACGTGTCGTTCATATTACTTGTATGTGTCGTTCATATTACTTGTGTGTCATTCATATATGTGTCGTTCATATTACTTACGTGTGTCATTCATATTACTCGTGTGTCATTCATACACCTGTCGTTCATATTACTTGTGTGTCATTCATATACGTGTCGTTCATATTACTTACGTGTGTCATTCATCATGTTCATATACGTGTCGTTCATATTACTTATGTGTGTCATTCATATACGTGTCATTCATGTCACTGACATTTACATGTTGATCATTTTACTGACGTGTGTCATTCATATGTGTCACTTATATACGTGTCGTTCATATTACTTACATGTGTCGTTCATATTACTTACATGTGTCAAGTTCTTTCTTTGTTCCATTTAGGTTGAGGTAGGCAAAGGTTTTCACGGGTTCACCTGCAAAATTTAAAAGTAAAAACGTTGAAGAAAAAACCATTGAAAAACCCACAAAGGGCAATACAAGTTGAATGTTAAGAATCTTCTCTTCATCAGCAAGCTACAGAGGGTGGGATGATCATACAGCATTTCACATCAACAGCATCTGAGTACTGATATCAGTCAGTGTTGTACACATTTCAGGCAACATGTACACCAGATGACGATCTAACAGAGTTAAATCAGTGCAGACACAAGACTGAATTAGCAGAGACACAGTGCAGACATGCTGAAGCCTACCTTGCTCATCCCTGCGAACTTTGATCTGGACATCCTCCACAGAACCAAACCTGGCAAACTTGTTGCGTAGGTCGTCGGGAAGTATCTCGGGGAAGAGACCCCCGACGTAGATTCTCCTGGTCTGCTTGGCTTCGGCAGCAGTCATCTCCGCAGATAAATATCTCTAGAACAGAGGAAGACACACCATACTGGATCATGTGGAAACTAAGTGCGTAATAGTGCACTTTACTGGACGCACTTTTTCAGATCCAATTAGCTCTGAAGGGGCTCAAATGGGCAAACCGGCTTGGCTAATTAGAGCATTAATAGTCCGACGGTGGTCTGTAAATAATCGAGCCTGAACCAGACAATCCAGTGATTGACATTATGAGCATCGATCCACACAATTGGAATATGATGACATGCATCAACCAAGTCAGCGAGCATGACCACCCGATCCCGTTAGTCGCCTCTTGCAACAAGCATAGTCGCTTTTTGCGTTGCTGAAGACCTATTCTACCCCGGATCTTCACAGGTCTAGCACTGGACCAAGATCACCATCACTTTTAATTCATGCTCGTTTGTCAGGTCATTTGCACGTCACACGCACTCCATTCCCCTTTTTGAAGAAGCCACGTCTGCCATTGTCCATCAAAATGAGTAACCAACTGACAAAATGTGTTAAAACAGACTATTAGGTCCTATTATGTGACGTCATTCATTTGTGGTGTATATTCTATCAGAGCTCCAGATAAGCTGTGTATCTGCATAAAATATGCGTCAGAAATGCAGAAATATGCAGTAAAATAAAATCCAAGCGTATCAAATACGCAACGAACATTACAGATACGCTACAAAATTAAAACTTGTACGTATCATCAAAATATTGTGAAGTAACCCTGTGTATTCGATTAGCAAATCAGCAACTTATTTTGAAATTATAAACAGGCATTCCGTCAACCTTGCCAAACTCCACGATGACAGTTACATCCTGATCATTTGCCATCACACTTTCTTGTGGAAGTATCGTGGTATTTTTTAGTCCTATAAAGCTCTCGAACCCACACGACACCAGTTTGCAGGGACTAGATGAATAGTGTTTTTAGATATTTAACTTAAATACCCACATGTGTAAAAACTAGTGGGTAACAGAAATTTGAATACCCAGATAGAATTACTGATACCCAATGATTTTAAAATGCATGGGTAAAACACCCACAACACCAAGAGCTTATCTGGAGCTCTGATTCTATAATGTACCCTTTGTTCTTCTTGCTACATTCAGTGTGTTAAACATTTGAAAATTTACCTCTGACCCGTCGCTAAATTTCTGTTTGTCAAACTACCGGCGATCTGATATGTCGTCAACTTACAACCAGCAACACGATTAGCTCATGTTCACCACATTGTTATCATGGAGGCTGCCATTTTGGGTTTTCATTGAAACTAGAAACCAAATGAACCAGAACATCGACACTAACTGGGACAGATTATTCTGGATATACATATGAGTTATTTTTTTTCAATATGTTAAGTATTTTATTCAATAACAAATAGTATCTTTGTAGTGTTCTTTATATTGTCTTTGGTTTCAAGACGTATGTCTTATTTTAAAATCGTAATTCGCTTCCTAAAATCCCAAATTCAATAAGAAAAGTATGTACATTTAATCCGCTTTAATGTTTGCAAGAATGTCACTTTGTTCTGACAATCTTAGAATAAATTACTCTAAAGTATAAAGATGGGGTACGTGTCATTTTTGCACGAACTGTAAAGAATATAGGACGAATGTCAGTCATTATCGGTTTGTCCAACGACGGGACGTATCATTTTATATTATTGAGCGTTCTATCTGACTTACATGAGAAAGGTCAAAACCGACTGTAAGTGTATTTGTTATTATCAGTGATACGTTCTTATAATTGTCCATATGGTAATTAGACATGACCTCCATGCGTTTTTTTGCCTTTACCAAATTCAAATCTTCAGTGTGTCACAAAGCAATGAATGGTCCTTATTCTACAAGAAGATGGCGGGTTCTTTGGAAATTGATACCATCGCAAGTTCGGTACAGCGAAAAATAGACCAGTAGGGATTATTAATTTGTCACGTTAGTGTTGTTTGATATGATGACGTTTAAACCTATGAACGAACGCGTCATGAACAAAAGAATGTTAGTTTAGTGAACCATGGTTTCCACTAATAAATATTTGACGTACCCAATTTTCGAACATTTAAGATAACATTGCTTCGTACCAGAAAGTGGTATCTTCAAAAATAGAATTCAACTATATTCCGAAAGGAAAATTACAAGATAAAAGACGTGACCTCCATTGCCCCGTCACACTATTTTGCTCTTTAATTTCACTATGACAGGGGCACCAAAGGTTTTGACAGATAACAATACTTCACATGAACCCAATGTTGACAGGCCGAATGTGTGCACTCACAAGTGGTCAGATTTAGCGTTATAACGCAATAAATGACAATTGATATGGCTGTTCAATAAAAGGCATCGTTCCAAAATAGAGAACTCGAAGATTATATCCTTTTAAAATAATAATGGCATAGTCATCTTCGGCAACAATGGAGTTTACCGGGAGCAGCTTATACAGCATTAACTGGCTCAACCTGCAGGCTGTGGCTCTCACTTCACAGATCTCACGTGCCCCTTTGATCCTTAGAGATATTTGTGGTAGGGTAGGTTACCCCCAACTCTACCCCTCGCCCCTTCATCCCCTTAACCAAGGCTGATCACTTGGTAATTATTGTGATAGTGCCTCGGGCTGGGATGTGTCCAAATTTACTACCAGGGTACCTGACCCCCTATTACACGACCCTACCCGGGTACCTGACCCCCTATTACACGACCCTACCCGGGTACCTGACCCCCTATTACACGACTCTACCCGGGTACCTGACCCCCTATTACACGACCCTACCCGGGTACCTGACCCCCTATTACACGACCCTACCCGGGTACCTGACCCCCTATTACACGACCCTACCCGGGTACCTGACCCCCTATTACACAACCCTACCCGAGTACCTGACCCCCTATTACACGACCCTACCCGGGTACCTGACCCCCTATTACACAACCCTACCCAGGTACCCACTGCAGGTCATAAGAGTTGGGAACAAAATGTCTGATTGGGAATTGTTTTACCGCAGCCCAGGACAAAATTATTTAGATACTTGTATCAAACGATCAGATCATGTGTTCACTGAAGTTGACTAAAGCTTTATCTATACTCAAACCTACACAATTCAAAAGGAATGTGTGCATCAGAAAGAGATGCGAACATTGGCGACTTGTAGTGTGACCACTGAGCTTTTTGTCATTAAACAATATATCATGTGACTAACCATGGGTCCGGGTAGTCATGTGGGTACCCGGGTCCTAGTCAGGACCCACCCGACCTGAGTATCTGAGTTACCCATCCCAGCCCTAATAATGCCGACAGTAAAGTGTTGGCTGATTGGAAAACCTCATCAGTATGGCTAAGCAGCATGAGTTCAATCCTCCACAAGGCGCTAATTGAAATCTGAAAAAGTGCACTACTCCATCATCTTCATCTTCTAAACCGAAGCCACAGTGCTTTCTACCCAGCTACAGCAAATCCAGCACCACAAACACAATCTGTCTACTGGTCACGCTCATTACATGATAAAGTATGCTGATATTCCCTGACACACATCAATACATTTTGAATTGTGATCTGTTGTGATCGGTTGTCACAATGTCATCAGTGTTTTCAGACAGTTTCGATGACACTATGATTCATTGGAGGTGTATATTGAGGTATCGGTACTTCATCCAGTTAACCACTTGATAGGCTGATTGCTGACATGTGACCATCTCAGACATTTACAGTTCTTTATGAATATAAACATAAACAGGACCACAAAGTGTGTTCGCGGTATCCAATATTTCAGTATGGCGTGTTCATTATATCCATCAATTTTATATGATAAAATGTACAGCAAATGTCCAGGCCCCCGAAACACAGTTTGTCAGATATGTCAATTCAGTATAGACGTCAGTTCATTGTATCCGTCAGTTTGTTATATCCGAAAGTTCATCACATCCATCAGTTCGTTATATCCGTCAGTTTGTTATATCCATCAGTTCATCATATCCCTCATTTTGTTACATCCGTCAGTTCGGTATATCCGTCAGTTCATCATATCGCGTGTTTGTTATAAACGTAGTTTCCTGTACATGTATGTGATGTTTTCACAATGACTTGTTGCGCCTCCTGATCAAAGTCAGCAAGTAAATGGGAGTAGAGGCCATAAAATGTCCAAGTCCCGTGATGGGATCTGAACCACAGACCTGATTTGAGAGTGGAAGCCTTATCCACATGACCAAAGAGGTTACCCCTGTCACTGTATTTATTTTCATTTATATCTTGTTTTTAAAGCGAAGAGAGAAAAAAATAGGTGCCATTTTTTGTCCAACAATGGTAGCCATTTTTTGCTTTTGACGAGGTTCTGTTCTCTCCAATTGGTGCTGTTTTTGCTCGTGACCTTTTGCTGATATGCTGTTTTAGCTAAAACCCCACTAAGACATTAAAGGGGACTATAGGTTTGGTCTATTTGACAGTGCCAGCAAATGTAGTTCAAGTTCCTCAAACACATCTTCCCGAGGCAAGAGAGTTAACTGACTATAAAAGTCCAGTTTCCACCCTTGCTGAACTAGGCTGGAATTATGGAGTTATATTGTGGCTCGTTTAACAAGTCTATGCATAGTCCAATCAAAATCGCGTAACAAAATCAACGTCCGTTTCATAAAATGCCGTGCAGATTTCGTTTGATTGGAGGATTTGCAAAGCATATGTACTGTCAACTCAGCGTCAACAGATATTTTGCAAATCTTTTCATGTTTTTAATCAAGGTGGTCAAGTGATTTGATGCACTTCGCGAAGTAAGACCCGTTTTGTTACAATATAGATCCTGATTATCGATCCCATCGTCTTCACTGAGTGCCGCCATTTTGTTTGAAGCAAATGCAAGTGATATGAGAATGGAATCTGACTGGTCTATAGGAGGGACAAAGAAGGGACATAACTCATAATAGCCACTGGTGGCGCTACGATCTCAGTCAGTTAGTTCCAGTTTTATGATTTGTATCAGTCTAACAGTTAGTGATGACCCTAAGTACACAGAGACAATGTCTCAGTTTGACCTACCTCAAGAATTCAGTACCGTCAACTTTTACCATCATTTTTGAGATTGATGACTGACTTGGTGACTGGAAGACTTGACATTTTCATGGCGTACATGTGTGATTGCTGTCAAGTATGTTATTCAGTGTCCATCTTCCCGAGGCAACAGAGGGAACTGACTATAAAAGTCCAGTTTCCACCCTTGCCAAACCAGGCTGGAACTATGGAGTTATATTTTGGCTGGACTAACAAGTCTATGCATAGTCAAATCATAATTGCATAACGAAATCAACATCTGAATTGTAAACTGCAATGCAGATTTCGGTGGATTGCAGGATTTGCAAAGCATGTGTACCGCTAGCTCGCTGTCAACAGATATTTTCCAAATCTTTTCATGTCTTTAATCAAGGTGCTCACATGATTTGATCACTTCGCAAAGTAAGACCTGTTTTATTACAACATAGATTTTGATTATCAATCAGATTGGCTAGACTCGGTGCCACCATTTTGTTTGAAGGAAATGCAAGTGATATGAGAGGTGGAATCTGATTAGTCAGTAGGAGGGACATAACTCGTAATTGCCACTGATGGTGCTACTATCGAGACCAGAAATTCCAGCCAAGTTTGGCAAGGGTGGAAACTGGACTTTTAGTCAGTTTCCTCCCTTGCCTCGGGAAGATGTGTTTGACTTTTTGGAATTGAGATCAAATGTCAGTCAAGCATATCCTATGCTGACAATGAAAGTCTTTCTTCCCAGAATGGACACAAGTGACACTGAGCCAGGTATGTCTGTACTGCAGCAGCAGACGGACATCACCGGACACACAGACACAGGACACACAGACAACCTGGACAACGCATCATCACTTGACCAAGGGAGAGAACTCACAGGGCTCGGATCTCAGCTTCATACACAGGTTCTACAACTTGAACAAGAGATCTCCAACCTTGAGGTGAAGATTGACCTTGAAAAGAAAAGATCATTTGGGAAGGAAGAAGATTTTCGAGCTTGGTTGAGGTGAACAGCAGCAAGATGGTGTTGAGAGTGAGATAGCATCTCTTAACAGAAAATTGCTAAATTATGTCTCTACCTTGGCCTTATTTGAATAAAATATCTAGTGCTAATAAAAATATGAAAGCAGCAAAGAGAATTTCTGAAATGAGGTTGAGGTTGTATCTACCCCCACTGTATCTGATGGCTGGATCTGTTGCAGAGATGCCGATGTGTCGGCTTTGAGCCTGGAAGAGGTGCAGGAGGAGATTGACAAGCTGGAGGAGATGGTAGGCACACCCTCTCGTAACATGCACACCTCATTACAGTCACACCTCCTCCTAACGTAACATGCACACCTCCTCCTAACATGCTTACCCCCTCCTAACATGCTTACCTCCTCCTAACATGCTTACCTCCTCGTTACATGCATACCTCCTCAATAGATGCACAACTCCTCGTAACATGCACACCTCCTCCTAACATGCACACCTCCTCGTAACATGCACACCTCCTCCTAACATTCACACCTCTTTACATGCACACCTCCTAACATGCACACCTCTTCGTAACATGCACATCTCATTACATGCACATCCCCACATTACATGCACACCTTGTAACATGCACATTTCCTCGTAACATGCACACCTCCTCGTAACATGCACACCTCCACATTACATTCACACCTCATCACATGCACATCTCATTACATGGACATCTCCTCGTTACATGCACATCTCGTAGCATGCACATCTCGTAACATGCACACATCATTACATGCCCATTTCCTCGTAACATGCACATCTTGTAACATGCAGATCTCCACATTACATGCACACCTCATCGTAACATGCATTCCTCCTCCTAACATGCACATATAATTACATGCACATATAATTACATGCACACCTCGTAAAGTGCATTCCTCTTCGTAACTTGCATACCTCCTCCTAACATGCACACCTCCTCGTCACATGCTCATCTCCTTGTTACATGCCCATCTCCTCATAACATGCATACCACCTCGTAACATGCACACCTCCTCGTAACTTGCATACCTCCTCGTAACATGCACATCTCATTACATGCACATCTAATTACATGCACACCTCGTAACTTGCATACCTCCACATAACATGCACACCTCCTCCTAACATGCACACCTCCTCCTAACATGTTATGCCCATCTCCTCATAACATGCATACATCCTCGTAACATGCACACCTCTTAACATGCACACCTCTTAACATGCACACCTCCTCGTAACATGCATACCTCCTCGTAACATGCACATCTCATTACATGCACATCTAATTACATGCACACCTCGTAACTTGCATACCTCCTCCTAACATGCACACCTCCTCCTAACATGCACACCTCCACATAACATGCACACCTCCTCCTAACATACACACCTCCTAACATGTTATGCCCATCTCCTCATAACATGCATACCTCCTCGTAACATGCACACCTCTTAACATGCACACCTCCTCGTAACATGCATACCTCCTTGTAACATGCACATCTCATTACATGCACATCTAATTACATGCACACCTCGTAACTTGCATACCTCCACATAACATGCACACCTCCTCCTAACATGCACAACTCCTCCTAACATGCACACCTCCTCCTAACACGCACACCTCCTCCTAACATGCACACCTCCACATAACATGCACATAGTATTTGTTCTATATTTGGTGAAGTAGACACACTTTTCACCCCTGCCTGCTGGATTACTTTATCATAAGGTGATTTTAAAGGGGGTGGGTGCTTTCAAACAGTCGAGGCTTCATTAAACACGGGACAAATGAACCAATATTTCACATATTTATTCCTGAAAGAAAATTATTGCATAAATTATTATATAAAAATATCCTGACATTTTTAAACATACAGAGGTTAAGACCAAAATGAACATAAAATTTATAAATTTTCTTGAACTAACCTTAATTACATGATTGCGTTTCATATTACAAACTTGTATAAGTTGTTAAATTTGCGCAGTTTACACATAAAACAAATGAAGCTGATGTCAAATGTTGAGAGATATGACAGTTCTAACATGAGTATTTTACACATCTGCCACTGCTCTTGGCCTCCTCAGCTTGACATGAACCAGAAGCTGACCGGCCTGCAGTTCAACACCACAAACTGGATCACACTGGAACAAGGTGAGTCTATGCTAAACAGTGTACGGTGTTGTAGCCTAGTTGTTAACTGGATCCCACTGGAACAAGGTGAGTCTATGCTAAACAGTGTACGGTGTTGTAGCCTAGTTAACTGGATCCCACTGGAACAAGGTGAGTCTATGCTAAACAGTGTACGGTGTTGTAGCCTAGTTAACTGGATCCCACTGGAACAAGGTGAGTCTATGCTAAACAGTGTACGGTGTTGTAGCCGAGTTGTTAACTGGATCCCATTGGAACAAGGTGAGTCTATACTAGACAGTGTATGGTGTTGTAGTTTAGTTGTTAACTGGATCACATTGGAACAAGGTGAGTCTATGCTAAACAGTGTACGGTGTTGTAGCCTGGTTGTTAACTGGATCCCACTGGAACAAGGTGAGTCTATACTAGACAGTGTACGGTGTTGTAGCCTAGTTGTTAACTGGATCCCATTGGAACAAGGTGAGTCTATACTAGACAGTGTACGGTGTTGTAGCCTAGTTGTTAACTGGATCCCATTGGAACAAGGTGAGTCTATACTAGACAGTGTACGGTGTTGTAGCCTAGTTGTTAACTGGATCCCATTGGAACAAGGTGAGTCTATACTAGACAGTGTACGGTGTTGTAGCCTAGTTGTTAACTGGATCCCATTGGAACAAGGTGAGTCTATGCTAAACAGTGTACGGTGTTGTAGCCTAGTTGTTAACTGGATCCCATTGGAACAAGGTGAGTCTATGCTACACAGTGTATGGTGTTGTAGCCTAGTTGTTAACTGGATCACACTGGAACAAGGTGAGTCTATACTAGACAGTGTACGGTGTTGTAGCCTAGTTGTTAACTGGATCACACTGGAACAAGGTGAGTCTATACTAGACAGTGTATGGTGTTGTAGCCTAGTTGTTAACTGGATCCCATTGGAACAAGGTGAGTCTATACTAAACAGTGTACGGTGTTGTAGCCTAGTTGTTAACTGGATCACACTGGAACAAGGTGAGTCTATACTAGACAGTGTATGGTGTTGTAGCCTAGTTGTTAACTGGATCACACTGGAACAAGGTGAGTCTATACTAGACAGTGTACGGTGTTGTAGCCTAGTTGTTAACTGGATCCCACTGGAACAAGGTGAGTCTATGCTAAACAGTGTAAGATGTTGTAGCCTAGTTGTTAACTGGATCCCATTGGAACAAGGTGAGTCTATGCTAAACAGTGTATGGTGTTGTAGCCTAGTTGTTAACTGGATCCCATTGGAACAAGGTGAGTCTATACTAGACAGTGTACGGTGTTGTAGCCTAGTTGTTAACTGGATCCCACTGGAACAAGGTGAGTCTATGCTAAACAGTGTACAGTGTTGTAGCCTAGTTGTTAACTGGATCCCATTGGAACAAGGTGAGTCTATGCTAAACAGTGTATGGTGTTGTAGCCTAGTTGTTAACTGGATCCCACTGGAACAAGGTGAGTCTATGCTAAACAGTGTATGGTGTTGTAGCCTAGTTGTTAACTGGATCCCATTGGAACAAGGTGAGTCTATGCTAAACAGTGTATGGTGTTGTAGCCTAGTTGTTAACTGGATCACACTGGAACAAGGTGAGTCTATGCTAAACAGTGTACAGTGTTGTAGCCTAGTTGTTAACTGGATCACACTGGAACAAGGTGAGTCTATACTAGACAGTGTACTGTGTCGTAGCCTAGTTGTTAACTGGATCACACTGGAACAAGGTGAGTCTATGCTAAACAGTGTATGGTGTTGTAGCCTAGTTGTTAACTGGATCCCACTGGAACAAGGTGAGTCTATGCTAAACAGTGTATGGTGTTGTAGCCTAGTTGTTAACTGGATCCCATTGGAACAAGGTGAGTCTATGCTAAACAGTGTACGGTGTTGTAGCCTAGTTGTTAACTTTTTTCGCTTGTCATGCCAAAGGCCTAGATTCAATTACCAATTGTCTGTCTGTCACATGTCTGTCTGTCACATTTCTGTCTGTCACATGTCTGTTTGTCTGTCACATGTCTGTCTGTCTGGCTGTCCGTCTGTCTGTCAGTATGTTCTGATGTTTCTCACTGTTTGTCTTACAGACCAGGATGTGTTAAGCAGACAGCACTTCATTGAAGGCTTCTGCAACGGGACACCCTTCCAACTCACGTACGACATACTGGAGGATTTTGTAAGTCCTGACTCGAGGGTAATATATATGTAGAAGGACTGTGTAGATAGGTAATGTAGATCAAAGGTCCTTCTAAGCAATATTAGGTTCCTGTAAAGTAATAACATGATATAGTGTACTGTACTGTAAGATTTGATAATTAGCGTAATTACAGGGCCTTTAGATTTCTTGTCAAGGATTTGGTAAATACATATTGTGCATCCTGAGGGACACTGTATTGTGTTTCCGCGTCCATTCCGGACATGTGTCCTGGCTTGATGCACATTTCTGCGTCATATAAACCCTAAAAAAATGATAGTCTTGGTTCTCAGGCACCCCCGCATCATCATAACGTCCGCCATTTTCAGGGGCGGTCGGTAGCCTGGTTAAAGCGTTCACTCGTCACGCCGAAGACCCGTGTTCGATTCCCGACATGGGTACAATGTGTGAAGCCCATTTCTGGTGTCCCCCGCCGTGATATTGCTGGAATATTGCTAAAAGCGGCGTAAAACCTTACTCACTCACTCACTCACTCACTCACTCACTCACTCACTCCGCCATTTTCAAGAAAAATAAAAAATACTTATACTTAAGAACAATGTGATCCAAAATAGCATGCAGTTACTTCCCTTTACATGTGCTTTACTGTGCACTGCTTGACTGTGCATCTCATGTTGGGGTCATGGCGACAATGGGAGTTTGTATGCTTGTTTATGTTTTTCACGAGTATGAAATCAGAGAGTTAACATGCTGTGTAAAACATGACAGCAGGTCCAGGAAATGTATCATCTCGTGGATCCTGAGGTAGCTCTTGTTGGTTACATAATGCTGTATTCTTTACAGAGTGTCAAGAGTCAAGGTACAAAAGTCACAGAGGTCACACTGTATGTGGAGGACGACATTGAGGCTACAATAGGGACGCAGCTCCAACAGTGAGTCCGTCTGACGTAAACTGATAACCCTAGCTACAGGAGTCCGTCTGACATAAACTGATAACCCTAGCTACAGGAGTCCGTCTGACATTAACTGATAACCCTAGCTACAGGAGTCTGTCTGACATAAACTGATAACCCTAGCTACAGGAGTCCGTCTGACATAAACTGATAACCCTAGCTACAGGAGTCCGTCTGACATAAACTGATAACCCTAGCTACAGGAGTCCGTCTGACATTAACTGATAACCCTAGCTACAGGAGTCTGTCTGACGTTAACTGATAACCCTAGCTACAGGAGTCCGTCTGACGTAAACTGTTAACCCCAGCTACAGGAGTCCGTCTGACGTAAACTGATTACCCTAGCTACAGGAGTCCGTCTGATGTAAACTGATAACCCTAGCTACAGGAGTCCATCTGACGTAAACTGATAACCCTAGCTACAGGAGTCTGTCTGACGTAAACTGATAACCCTAGCTACAGGAGTCCGTCTGATGTAAACTACTAACCCTAGCTACAGGAGTCCATCTGACGTAAACTGATAACCCTAGCTACAGGAGTCCGTCTGATGTAAACTGATAACCCTAGCTACAGGAGTCCGTCTGAGGTTAACTGTTAACCCTAGCTACAAGAGTCCGTCTGAGGTAAACTGATAAACCTAGCTACAGGAGTCTGGCTGACGTAAACTGATAACCCTAGCTACAGGAGTCCGTCTGACGTAAACTTTTAACCCCAGCTACAGGAGTCTGTCTGTCGTAAACTGATAACCCTAGCTACAGGAGTCCGTCTGACGTAAACTGATAACCCTAGTTACAGGAGTCTGTCTGACGTAAACTGATAACCCTAGCTACAGGAGTCTGTCTGGCGTTAACTGATAACCCTAGCTACAGGAGTCCGTCTGACGTAAACTGATAACCCTAGCTACAGGAGTCTGTCTGGCGTTAACTGATAACCCTAGCTTCAGGAGTCTGGCTGACGTAAACTGATAACCCTAGCTACAGGAGTCCGTCTGACGTAAACTTTTAACCCCAGCTACAGGAGTCTGTCTGTCGTAAACTGATAACCCTAGCTACAGGAGTCCGTCTGACGTAAACTTTTAACCCAAGCTACAGGAGTCCGTCTGACGTAAACTGATAACCCTAGCTACAGGAGTCCGTCTGGCGTAAACTGATAACCCTAGTTACAGGAGTCTGTCTGACGTAAACTGATAACCCTAGCTACAGGAGTCTGTCTGGCGTTAACTGATAACCCTAGCTACAGGAGTCCGTCTGACGTAAACTGATAACCCTAGCTACAAGAGTCCGTCTGGCGTTAACTGATAACCCTAGCTACAGGAGTCCGTCTGAGGTTAACTGATAACCCTAGCTACAGGAGTCCGTCTGACGTAAACTGATAACCCTAGCTACAGGAGTCCGTCTGACGTAAACTGATAACCCTAGCTACAGGAGTCCATCTGACGTAAACTGATAACCCTAGCTACAGGAGTCCAGCTGAGGTTAACTGATAACCCTAGCTACAGGAGTCCGTCTGAGGTTAACTGATAACCCTAGCTACAGGAGTCCGTCTGAGGTTAACTGATAACCCTAGCTACAGGAGTCCGTCTGACTTTAACTGTTAACCCCAGCTACAGGAGTCCATCTGACTTTCACAGATAACCCTAGCTACAGGAGTCCGTCTGGCGTAAACTGATAACCCTAGCTACAGGAGTCCGTCTGAGGTTAACTGATAACCCTAGCTACAGGAGTCCATCTAATATTAACTGTCATTATCTCGCCTTATATTAAAATTCTTGCTCCTGATTGTATAAGGAAAGGGCAATTATTTTCCATATAGCCTGCTCATGTAGCCCACAGAGAAATCAATCGGAACACACCAAAGGTAACTTTCTTATCTCACATAAGTATTGTCGAGCTGAAATGAACCGATGTTTATCCGATTGCACTTGGTAAATGGAAGTTACTCGGTATGTTTGTGTGCTAGCTGTGAAATTGGCTGCCTACTTCAGTATCGGTTGTGTTGTTGTTTTTACTCAAGTCAAGTGTAACAAGTTATTTGTACTCAGTGAAACTTCAGACATATATTAGGGGTCTGTATGAATGAAAGTCAGTAAGATAATTCACTGTCAACCGACCCCATGGGGCATATGTGATGGCTTGGTGTACGTAGGCTCACACACAGGGTACATCACACCATATGCCCCTCCAGCTTACTTATATTGTAACCCTTAGCTGACCCAGCTACAGGAGGGAGTCCAGCTGTCTTTGTATCATGTATTTCTGTGTAGGTTGACAGAGGACCGAGAAATCCCAGGATTCTTCACAATCCTTGTGTCCTTCCTGCGATGGCGAGAGGAGCGGGAGGAGGTGATGAGCTACTGTGTGGAGAAGTTCCCTGACCACGTCCGCCGCATCCACCAGGATCAGCTGCACGGCCTGGTCATCCACGACAACAACCACAACAGGTGACTAACTAATCAGTCAGGACACCACATGTGACTAACTAATCAGTCAGGACACAACAGGTGACTAACTAATCAGTCAGGACACAACAGGTGACTAACTAATCAGTCAGGACACAACAGGTGACTAACTAATCAGTCAGGACACAACATGTGACTAACTAATCAGTCAGGACACAACAGGTGACTAACTAATCAGTCAGGACCACAACAGGTGACTAACTAATCAGTCAGGACACAACAGGTGACTAACTAATCAGTCAGGACCATAACAGGTGACTAACTAATCAGTCAGAACCACAACAGATGACTTACTTATCAGTCAGGACCACAACAGGTGACTAACTAATCAGTCAGGACACAACAGGTGACTTACTAATCAGTCAGGACACAACATGTGACTAACTAATCAGTCAGGACACAACAGGTGACTAATCAGTCAGGACCACAACAGGTGACTAACTAATCAGTCAGGACACAACAGGTGACTAACTAATCAGTCAGGACCACAACAGGTGACTAACTAATCAGTCAGAACCACAACAGATGACTTACTTATCAGTCAGGACCACAACAGGTGACAGTCAACTTAATCGGCCAAAGCCACCACTGTTGACACACTAATCAGGACCACCACAGGAGACCAGTCCAGTCTCACTTATCAGTGACTAATTTAGTGTATCTACTCCGAGTGACACCATGTTCCTTGTGTTGTAGACCCAGCTGTGTGTTGGAGTGGGGGTTCATGGCCAGTCCGCTGTACCGCATTGATCGACATCTCACCCTTGCCGTAAAGGTGCCACAGAAAAGTAAGACCTGTTGTATTCGTTGTAAACCCTTAACTTGAGTACATGGAAGAATTAGTTCTTTTGTACTTCTTTCTGATGAGAGGTGCCGGGCTTCTGATGACCACAATGACAGTCTGACTATGTTGACACCTGGCATCAGTTTGTTTGTTTGTTTGTTGTTTATTGCTGCACTCAGCAATATTCTAGCTGAATATATGACAGCGGTCTGTATATAATCGAGTCTGGACCAGACAATCCAATGATTGATATCATGAACATCAATCTACACAACTGGGATACAATGACAAGCATCAACCAAGTCAGCGAGTCTGACCACCCGATCCCATTAGTTACCTCTTACGACAAGCATAGTGGCCTTTTAAGGGAAGCATGGGTTGCTGAAGACCTATTCTAACCAGGATCTTCACGGGTCAGTTCCATCACGGGTCAGTTCCATCATGGGTCAGTTCCATCAGTGTTGTCCAAGGCAAAGATAAGCCTACGAGCTGTGACATCAACCTCACTCATTATAATGAAAATGTGTTCTGTACTTGTTGCCACAATTCTCTGTTATTCTTGATTGCCAACCATGTATTTATTGGTGACAACTCGGGGATTTTCTGCTGCAGTGGCTGACTATGACAAGGATGACACGTTGGCTGAAACACCGGAGGTGTTCTCAACAATGGTGAAGAAACTGGGAGTTCAGAAGTCAATCGAGGTGTTGATACACATGGTGACGGCACCTGGACAGGACAAGGATACGTAGCATGACGCACGTCTAAACCGCATCGAAACTAGAGAACGACGACATGTAAATAAGACTGAGGTGGATCCTGAACCAAGACATGGGAATGAAACATGGCTAGACCCAGGAAGGGCTTTGAAGATTGTACAGCCATTACTGTGAGGTTCTTGTTCTTGTTGACAACAACCAGAGACCCCTGGGAGTTTCATTTGACCCGCTTGGAGATGTGTTCAACTTCACACTTGATGACATTTCAGTGTCTAGGTTTTGAACATTTGTGATATGGAAGGTTGTTTAATGCCCTTAGCATTCTTCAATATCTTGGGAGGTCGATTTTGGCTTTGTTGGGCCATCTGTGTTTGCAGTATGTACAAATGTGTTAAAATCCTACAATCATCAACCAGTGTTGAGTCATTCCTCCACCATGACATCCAGCTATAGCACGTTAATCTTACTAGGCACACTCACACACACCAACTAGGTCCAAACGCTCTAACTTGGTCCACACACCACACACCACACTCTAACTAGGTCCACACACTCTAACTAGGTCCACACACCACGCTCTAACTAGGTCCACACACTCTAACTGGGTCTACACATTTTAACTAGGTCCCCACACTCTTACTAGGTCCACACACTCTTATAGCCAATACAAAGGCTGACACAGAGGTATGGTCAATACAAAGACTGACAGAGGTATAGTCAATATAAAGGCTGACACAGGTATAGTCAATACAAAGGTTGACACAGGTATAGTCAATATAAAGGCTCACTGAGGTATAGTCAATATAAAGGCTGACACAGGTATAGTCAATACAAAGGTTGACACAGGTATAGTCAATATAAAGGCTCACTGAGGTATAGTCAGTATAAAGGCTGACACAGGTATAGTCAGTATAAAGGCTGACGTAGAGGTATACTGGTAGTCAATATAAAGGCTCACTGAGGTATAGTCACTATAAAGGCTGACACAGGTATAGTCAATATAAAGGCTGACGTAGAGGTATAGTCAATACAAAGACTGACATAGAGGTATAGTCAGTATAAAAGGTATGTATTACTGGGATAAAACCATCTTCGCGAGGCAAGGAAATTAACTGACTATAAAAGTCCAGTTTCCACCTTTGCTAAACTAGGCTGGAAATATGGAGGTATAGTTTGGCTGGACAAACGAGTCTATCAATTGTCCAATCAAAATCGCGTAGCGAACTAGACATCCCATTCGTAAACTGCCCTGCAGATTTGCGAAGCATATGTACCGCCAACTCGGCGTCAAGAGATATTTTCCCAATCGTTTCATGTTTTTAATCAAGGTGCTCACGTGAAGTTGATGCACTTCGCGAAGTTTTATCACAATATAGATTTTGATTATCGATCAGATCGTCTTGACTAGGCGACGCTATTTTGTTTAAGGCAAATGCAAGTGATACGAGAGTTTGGATCTGATTGGTCAATAAGAGGGGCATAGAAGGAGCATAACTCATAAAAGCCACTGGTGCGCCAGTTAACTCCCTTGCTTCGGGAAGATGGGATAAAGCTGATATCCATGTATTGCCAGGAAAAAGCTGGTATAAGGGTATTTCGAATAGGAAGCTGATACACAGGTATTGCCAAGAAAAAGCTGGTATAAGGGTATTTCGAATAGGAAGCTGATACACAGGTATTGCCAAGAAAAAGCTGGTATAAGGGTATTTCGAATAGGAAGCTGATACACAGGTATTGCCAAGAAAAAGCTGGTATAAGGGTATTTCGAATAGGAAGCTGATATACAGGTATTGCCAAGAAAAAGCTGGTATAAGGGTATTTCGAATAGGAAGCTGATATACAGGTATTGCCAAGAAAAAGCTGGTATAAGGGTATTTCGAATAGGAAGCTGATACACAGGTATTGCCAGGAAAAAGCTGGTATAAGGGTATTTCGAATAGGAAGCTGATACACAGGTATTGCCAAGAAAAAGCTGGTATAAGGGTATTTCGAATAGGAAGCTGATACACAGGTATTGCCAAGAAAAAGCTGGTATAAGGGTATTTCGAATAGGAAGCTGATACACAGGTATTGCCAAGAAAAAGCTGGTATAAGGGTATTTCGAATAGGAAGCTGATATACAGGTATTGCCAAGAAAAAGCTGGTATAAGGGTATTTCGAATAGGAAGCTGATATACAGGTATTGCCAAGAAAAAGCTGGTATAAGGGTATTTCGAATAGGAAGCTGATACACAGGTATTGCCAGGAAAAAGCTGGTATAAGGGTATTTCGAATAGGAAGCTGATACACAGGTATTGCCAAGAAAAAGCTGGTATAAGGGTATTTCGAATAGGAAGCTGATACACAGGTATTGCCAAGAAAAAGCTGGTATAAGGGTATTTCGAATAGGAAGCTGATACACAGGTATTGCCAAGAAAAAGCTGGTATAAGGGTATTTCGAATAGGAAGCTGATACACAGGTATTGCCAAGAAAAAGCTGGTATAAGGGTATTTCGAATAGGAAGCTGATACACAGGTATTGCCAAGAAGAAGCTGGTATAAGGGTATTTCGAATAGGAAGCTGATACACAGGTATTGCCAAGAAAAAGCTGGTATAAGGGTATTTCGAATAGGAAGCTGATACACAGGTATTGCCAAGAAAAAGCTGGTATAAGGGTATTTCGAATAGGAAGCTGATACACAGGTATTGCCAAGAAAAAGCTGGTATAAGGGTATTTCGAATAGGAAGCTGATACACAGGTATTGCCAAGAAAAAGCTGGTATAAGGGTATTTCGAATAGGAAGCTGATATACAGGTATTGCCAAGAACAAGCTGGTAAAAGGGTATTTCGAATAGGAAGCTGATACACAGGTATTGCCAAGAAAAAGCTGGTATAAGGGTATTTCGAATAGGAAGCTGATATACAGGTATTGCCAAGAAAAAGCTGGTATAAGGGTATTTCGAATAGGAAGCTGATATACAGGTATTGCCAAGAAAAAGCTGGTATAAGGGTATTTCGAATAGGAAGCTGATACACAGGTATTGCCAAGAAAAAGCTGGTATAAGGGTATTTCGAATAGGAAGCTGATACACAGGTATTGCCAAGAAAAAGCTGGTATAAGGGTATTTCGAATAGGAAGCTGATATACAGGTATTGCCAAGAAAAAGCTGGTATAAGGGTATTTCGAATAGGAAGCTGATACACAGGTATTGCCAGGAAAAAGCTGGTATAAGGGTATTTCGAATAGGAAGCTGATACACAGGTATTGCCAAGAAAAAGCTGGTATAAGGGTATTTCGAATAGGAAGCTGATACACAGGTATTGCCAAGAAAAAGCTGGTATAAGGGTATTTCGAATAGGAAGCTGATACACAGGTATTGCCAAGAAAAAGCTGGTATAAGGGTATTTCGAATAGGAAGCTGATACACAGGTATTGCCAAGAAAAAGCTGGTATAAGGGTATTTCGAATAGGAAGCTGATACACAGGTATTGCCAAGAAAAAGCTGGTATAAGGGTATTTCGAATAGGAAGCTGATACACAGGTATTGCCAAGAAAAAGCTGGTATAAGGGTATTTCGAATAGGAAGCTGATATACAGGTATTGCCAAGAAAAAGCTGGTATAAGGGTATTTCGAATAGGAAGCTGATACACAGGTATTGCCAGGAAAAAGCTGGTATAAGGGTATTTCGAATAGGAAGCTGATACACAGGTATTGCCAAGAAAAAGCTGGTATAAGGGTATTTCGAATAGGAAGCTGATACACAGGTATTGCCAAGAAAAAGCTGGTATAAGGGTATTTCGAATAGGAAGCTGATACACAGGTATTGCCAAGAAAAAGCTGGTATAAGGGTATTTCGAATAGGAAGCTGATATACAGGTATTGCCAAGAAAAAGCTGGTATAAGGGTATTTCGAATAGGAAGCTGATAGACAGGTATTGCCAAGAAAAAGCTGGTATAAGGGTATTTCGAATAGGAAGCTGATACACAGGTATTGCCAGGAAAAAGCTGGTATAAGGGTATTTCGAATAGGAAGCTGATACACAGGTATTGCCAAGAAAAAGCTGGTATAAGGGTATTTCGAATAGGAAGCTGATACACAGGTATTGCCAAGAAAAAGCTGGTATAAGGGTATTTCGAATAGGAAGCTGATACACAGGTATTGCCAAGAAAAAGCTGGTATAAGGGTATTTCGAATAGGAAGCTGATACACAGGTATTGCCAAGAAAAAGCTGGTATAAGGGTATTTCGAATAGGAAGCTGATACACAGGTATTGCCAAGAAGAAGCTGGTATAAGGGTATTTCGAATAGGAAGCTGATACACAGGTATTGCCAAGAAAAAGCTGGTATAAGGGTATTTCGAATAGGAAGCTGATACACAGGTATTGCCAAGAAAAAGCTGGTATAAGGGTATTTCGAATAGGAAGCTGATACACAGGTATTGCCAAGAAAAAGCTGGTATAAGGGTATTTCGAATAGGAAGCTGATACACAGGTATTGCCAAGAAAAAGCTGGTATAAGGGTATTTCGAATAGGAAGCTGATACACAGGTATTGCCAAGAACAAGCTGGTAAAAGGGTATTTCGAATAGGAAGCTGATACACAGGTATTGCCAAGAAAAAGCTGGTATAAGGGTATTTCGAATAGGAAGCTGATATACAGGTATTGCCAAGAAAAAGCTGGTATAAGGGTATTTCGAATAGGAAGCTGATATACAGGTATTGCCAAGAAAAAGCTGGTATAAGGGTATTTCGAATAGGAAGCTGATACACAGGTATTGCCAAGAAAAAGCTGGTATAAGGGTATTTCGAATAGGAAGCTGATACACAGGTATTGCCAAGAAGAAGCTGGTATAAGGGTATTTCGAATAGGAAGCTGATATACAGGTATTGCCAAGAAAAAGCTGGTATAAGGGTATTTCGAATAGGAAGCTGATACACAGGTATTGCCAGGAAAAAGCTGGTATAAGGGTATTTCGAATAGGAAGCTGATACACAGGTATTGCCAAGAAAAAGCTGGTATAAGGGTATTTCGAATAGGAAGCTGATACACAGGTATTGCCAAGAAAAAGCTGGTATAAGGGTATTTCGAATAGGAAGCTGATACACAGGTATTGCCAAGAAAAAGCTGGTATAAGGGTATTTCGAATAGGAAGCTGATACACAGGTATTGCCAAGAAAAAGCTGGTATAAGGGTATTTCGAATAGGAAGCTGATACACAGGTATTGCCAAGAAAAAGCTGGTATAAGGGTATTTCGAATAGGAAGCTGATACACAGGTATTGCCAAGAAAAAGCTGGTATAAGGGTATTTCGAATAGGAAGCTGATATACAGGTATTGCCAAGAAAAAGCTGGTATAAGGGTATTTCGAATAGGAAGCTGATACACAGGTATTGCCAGGAAAAAGCTGGTATAAGGGTATTTCGAATAG